CACAGATAAAAAAAATCAGCCCGTTTGTAATGAACTGAATGATCAGAAAACGACTTCTTTTGGAGGTATTATTTCATGTTGCTTCCTAAGCCTGGCAAACAAAAGCACTTTTTACTGGATCAGTCGGAAGCTGATCCATTTGAGTGCAAATGGCCCAAAGGCCTTTTCTTCTGAGTGCTCAATAACTTTCAATTCATTGATTTTCCCCCACAAGACACAGTCAACTGCCCAGCTTTCTTCATCTGATCCTATTAAAGGGCTTTTCAAAATTGATGAGAGACAGTTTTAAAGGTTCAGGATTTGCTTCAGGGTGGTCAGTGAAAAAATAAAAGCACGAAGAAATTTGCCCTTTAACTTTTGCTGTCCATTAAAAACAAGTGACTCCTTAATTGTGAACTCTTAAATGAAGTCACAACTGGAACAATGAGCATTCAGGTTTGGCAAATGCATCTCAGAATATATTCAATCTTAATTATCCCGCTGGCTTCTCTCACTTCTAGATGTTCTTTTTCTACCAATCTTGCCAAAAGTGATGCAACAGAATGAGGCATTAGCACAATGGGAGATACAAACCTCAGCAAATGTCCAGAATTATGAGTAACTATTATTTAATCGAACATATTCGTATTTTCTGAAGAACTCCGCAGTGAAACACAACATTCCAGAATCCTGCACATTCAACTAATTAATCAATCATGCAACCATGCAAAGCCCAGAGCGCTGGAGGAAAACTGGCCTGGAAATACTTATAAATCAAGAATACAATTTACCAACACCAAATCCAATATTTCAAGGCACTGCCAATGAAAGCACACATATACACAGATAATTTAGTATCCGAATATTCTAAGGAAATGAACTATTCAGTGTCTTTTATAAATACCAATACTCGAACAAAATCACATTTTTGTAACAGAAGAATGCCAATAAAGAAATAGAAATGTCATATAATTTGCCCAAGATTCCGGACTACTGTAATTAAAATTCTATTTTTTCTTCAAGTTTATTTACAAATCTTTATAAATGTTGGCTATTGCTTAATGTGATGTACAAGGTCCTTGAAAATCTACAGGTAAATATTAATTTACTGTTAGTTGTATTTCATGGCCGGAATCTCTGGGTTGTTGTAGGTTTTTTTGGGCTATATGGCCATGTTCTAGAGGCATTCTCTCCTGACGTTTTGCCTGCATCTATGGCAAGCATCCTCACTACCTCGGAGGATGCTTGCCATAGATGCAGGCGAAACGTCAGGAGAGAAAGCCTCTAGAACATGGCCATATAGCCCAAAAAAACCTACAACAACCCACTTATTGTTAGTTGATAATATATTTATGTATTATATGCCAGTGTCCATATTTTGCCTGTTAATGTGGGTAGAAAAAACAGTTCTTGGCAATGATGACAATGTGATGGAAAATGGACTATGAATAGGCTTCCGATTGTGTTGTGCTCGCTGAATTCGTTTCTACATAAGGCTAGATAGCCAGTATTATTGTACTTGTTATTAATGTACTTTTTATTTTAAACTAAATTTTAAATTATTTTTACTGTATCATTTATATGTAATTATTGTATGTATTATTTATATGTAATGGCATTGAATTGTGCTTGATGTAAGCCGCCTTGAGTCCCCCCCTCCCCCGGGGGCTGAGAAGGACGGGGTACAAATGTTCGAAATAAATAAATAAATAAATAAATTCTTGTATTTTTACAAAACTAGTCCATTCCCCATAAAACAGGAAAAAGTGAATTACGAGTTTCCTCTTTGGAACCATCAATGGTAATCTTGAGAGATACATAAGGTCCATGTAAGGTGTAAGTGTCCAGTAAGACCCCAGAATTTCTCTCTCTAAAACAGTGGTTTTAGAACTAAAACATGGTCAGTGACCTCACCATTACTATACCGTTGCAACGAGAGCGACAGGTCTTGCAAAACCTTCTTACAGTGCTGAGGCTTATTAAATATGGTTTTCTGTGGGTGAGCAGATGGCGACTACTGAGTGGCATATGTGCTGTATCGAAAACTAGAGATGAGGTGGTCTATCCAATGCAATTTTCTGAATAAGTACCCCAAATACCCCTTGTATTTGTATCCCAAGTACCCCTTGAAGGAGCTGGGGGTGGTGACAGCCGACAGGGAGCTCTGGCGTGGGCTGGTCCATGAGGTCACGAAGAGTCGGAGACGACTGAACGAATGAACAACAACAAACCCCAAATAACCAAACTGAATCTAAAGTTGACCAAAAACTGATTCGTAACCCTTGAGGTACTAATGTTTGAGAGTGGTCCTTGGTCAAAGTGGTCCCTGGTCAAAAAAAGGTTGGGAACCACTGCTCTAAAACATTACAACAGTAGATTAAATGATGACTGTGCTCTCTATCCAAGGCTATATCACAAACTGCTTGTAAAAGTTTCCTCAACATTAAACAGTGGAATCCTTGAACACTCATACCAAATAAAATTTGATAGGCTTTAAAAATGCCAAAAGACTCTTTGAAGACTTTTAATGTGAAATCACAACATGCACAGGATGTATGTAACTATGTTCAAAACATCCCTGTTATCTCATCAGGCCTTTGTGCATAGCCAAATGCATACATAGACTCATATGGCTAAAACTAAATATACTTAAGGTACACAAAGAACTGTGTAAATACTGTTTGAAGTAGTTTACCTTTGAGAAAAAAGAACATCCCAATATGGACAAATGCATAAGGTAGTTGAAGAATTTGTTCCGTTGCTTTGTAGCTAATGACATCCCCTTGCCCAACCATTATCATTAATTCTATATTATATTGACTTTTTTGTATTGTGTGTGTAGCATGTGCCAAGTCATTTGCTACTTAAAGCGAACCTATCATGGGGCTCGCCATATGTTAGAAACATTTGTTTAGAGGAGTTTGCCTTTCATTTCCCTGACCCTGAGAGAGTGTGACATAAACCCAAGGTCTCCCAGTGGGTCTCTATGGCTGAGCAGAACTTACTGGATTTTGGTCTCCAAAGTCAAAGTCTGATGCTCAAACTACTACACCATTAGCCACATTGAAATCCTAGAGAAAACAAGCTCAGTATAATGTGACAACAAACCAATTGACCAGTTTTCCTTTCAATGCTAACACAGATTTTTATACTAATGTTTGTTGGCCATTTTAACTCAGTTGGGAAGTCTCCTGATATTCTTGGCTGCCATCCACAGCCAACATATGCACAGCATCAGGATGACATAATTAAGTCCTTCCAAGCCTGAGAGATTTGAGCTATAATCTATGAATATAGCTACCTTGAAATTTCAGGTACCAGCTTCCACATGTCCTTGTTAGGACTACATTTTTTTCTATCAGGAGGCATGGGACCATGGAACAGTAGTACAGCATATGTTTTGCAGTCAGAAGACCTAAGTGCAATACTTAGCAACTCTATAATCTTGTCTAAAAACCTGTGAGCTGCTCCAAGGCAGTGTCCACTAAACTAGATTAGATGACCCGATGATCTGATCCAGTTCCTACTATTTCTGTAACATTCCCTACTATGGCTGAAACAACAAAAGTCAGGAAAAGCATCACATTCTCAAACTGATTTCACTTGATCAACAAATTCAGCTGCATGTTATCACTACCACCACCAACATCGTCATCACCACCACCACCACTTTCAATGTTGTCACAATCACCATTGCCGATTGCAGCAACTTTTTCAACTGTAAGTCTTTCAACTGCCAGATCTAGGTAGGAAAACCGGGGTCCACTTCCAATTCTCTGCCTTAATTTGCTACAGACAGAAAAAGCCTTCTAAATCCTGACATTTCTAACAAAAAGCTTATAGCTAAAAAGTTTTTCTCATTTCCAAACACCAAAACGTTATTGTGATTTAGTTCTCACCATATTTGAAAAGAAAGTAAAAAAGTGAAGCATTAAATATTTGGTCTCATAATCCATTTACTTTATTAGGTCCACTCAGAAATGGGTTTTCCCAAGTTCATGTAGGAGATCAACGTGGAAAAAAAAAAGAAAGCCATGAAGGCTGCAGTTTCTCTCTAAGGCAAATTGTTATGAAAGGTCTGACAAATACATTAAACAGAACACAAAGCCTGTTCTGAGTACATGGATTTCATACACTAATTAAGTGTGTAACAAATGGCTCAGAGTTTAACCGACTATGTAAGTCTGTTTTATAAGTATACATACATATATTTTGTCTATTCCAAACAACTTTCCAGAAAAAAGGTTGTAATTCCCATAGACTATCCAATACTGTTGCAGATGCGGTCCACAAAGACTGGCCTGATTTGCCAGCTATTAAATGGCTTCTACCTACAGTACTTTTTGTATACTAGGATATTACCCCCACCCCAGCCAGGCAACAGATCAGTCCAAAGTGAGAGACCAAGCTTGCCGCCATCTAACTAAGCTCATCTCAGGACACCAAAGTTAAATGATGTGACAGAACCATTTTCCCATGCTTATCAGAATGAGTGGATCCTTCCTTTACCCTTCTATCATTTGCAAGGACAATTATGGAACTGAGAAATACCACTGTCAACAGATGGAGTATTTGTACACCTTGTGGATAATGTAAACTGCATATACCCATATGGCAATGGATGGCAATATTTCTCCTCATACTTTCACAACAGGGAGTTGGATGAAACCATAACATTTATTTGAGAATGCCCATAAAAAGGCTAACCTTAGCTATATTGCCACTTATAGATCTGCTCTCCTTCTCTCATGGATTTATTGTATACCAATGTACATAACAGTGATTGTGTGAACCCCTACTGAAGATCATGTTGACTATTTCACCATGAGGTGGCAACTTGTGGCTCTTCAGATAATTCCCACTGGCTACACTGGAAAAGGTTGCTAGGAACTGCAGTTCCAGAAAATACAGAGAGTCAAAAGCCACCCATACGGACAATTTTCACATTACCCTCTTGAGTGGTTTAAAAAGCATAAGAAAAGAAACAACAGTGCACTACTTGAACCCCTCCATTCTCCTACCTTTGTGGTTAAAGATGCCTTCCATTTCCATACTGCTCCTAGAGTGGGCAATGCAGAGAGATCCACAGGGGACCAGCCCTTCTGCAGCTGGGGACCGGTCAGTGGTTCGTACTAGGCACCAGTCGGGTTTGTCATGTGGCCGCTCCAGAACCTCCACTGTCTGACCCCGACGGATTGTCAGTTCATTGCTGTTGCATGCGGTGAAATCATGGATGACCACTGTCAACTCACATCCGCCTGACAGCTGTGGAAAAAGCCAACAAAATGGGAGGGCAATCAGCACAATAATTCCAGAAGTATATGCCATGAATCTTGACAAATTTCACAATGATTTAAGAGGATAGTATAAAACAAATAGCAAAAAATCAATTTTTGTATTACATTCTAATGCTAACTTTGTATATAGAGTGGTGCATGCATGGCCCCACACAATAGAAAAAAGATTTCAACAGAAAAATCACAGGAAATTTGTTGCGAAATACGTATTACAGATAAACCTGGACTATATCAAAGCATATGAAAAGTAAAACATAACAGAATGGATTTCCAATTGTGAAGGCATAACACAGAAACCATCCTGTCATTCATATACATTATAGAATCATAGAGTTGGAAGAGACCTCATGGGCCATCCAGTCCAACCCCCTGCCAAGAAGCAGGAAAATTGCATTCACAGCACCCCTGACAGATGGCCATCCAGCCTCTGTTTAAAAGCTTCCAAAGAAGGAGCCTCTACCACACTCCAGGGCAGAGAGTTCCACTGCTGAACAGCTCTCACAGTCAGGAAGTTCTTCCTAATGTTCAGATGGAATCTCCTTTCTTGTAGTTTGAAGCCAATTGTTCTGCATCCTAGTCTCCAGGGCAGCAGAAAACAAGTTCGCTACCTCCTCCTTTGACTTCCTCTCACATATTTATACATGGCTATCATATCTCCTCTCAGCTTTCTCTTCTTCCAAGTTGACCAAGAATGGGAAACTTGGAAGTCCCTGAACAGACTCAGAAGCAGAGTGGGCAGATCAAAAACAACCTGGCTAAATGATACTACCTAGAGGAATCCTCCACCTTGTGGAGCAGAACAAACAACTCTGCATCTATATGCTTGTCCACTAGGCCCTGCCTCATGTACGGAGGAATAATTGTTTCAAGTTACAGACAATGCAGTTGCTGTTGCCCGTTTTTGGTCAAAAATTATTTAGCCGCTTGTGTTCCCTTTGTTTTTATCAGTTTAATAGTTATTTAGGCAATGCTTTTGACACAAAATAAATAAATAAAACTGGTTTGGTTTCCCAATATTTGTACTGAACTTTATGGCCAAAAGTGATAATATCGGCAAACAAGAAGTGCCTCTTTTTCTGAAGATGGTGGTTCGTTTTGGCATTCTCTGTTAACAATGTAGTTACTGTGGTATCTTATATCCTGGAAAGCTACAAATGTGAAACATAATGTTAATGCCATTATGAGTAATTTAGCTGCTAACATGTATCATTGAATTATGTTGCTGTTTTTGTCACAACCTCTGAGGATGCCTGCCATAGGTGTGGGTGAAATGTCAGGAGATAATGCTTCTGGAACATGGCCATACAGCCTGGAAAACTCACAACATCCCATCCATATGAAAGTCCATCTCTTACAGAAAATGTGTGTCTTTGGACAGCCAAGACAATAATGTGTATTGTTACATAAAAGTGTGCAAGCAGCATCTGCCAGGTAATCATGTAAATATAATGTACAGGTTAATCATTTGGTAAGTCTGTCTGTCAAACTTTCACATGACCATTGTTTAGTAGTGTGGGTCTACAGAGATACTCGCTGGAATACCTCAGCAAGCAAGAGTCCAAAAGTGGCAGGCTAAAAACCAGAACCTCAATCAATGGCTGATACCTAATGAAAGACTCCCCCCTGGGCACACAGAAGAGTGAAAGACCTAGAAGACACTGAACAGACTGCTCTGGCACCACGAGGCACAAAGCCAACCTTAAGAAATGGGGCTACAAAGTGGAATCCACAACATGCGAGTGTGGAGAAGAGCAAACCACCTACTACAATGCAACCGTAGCCCTGCCACATGCACAATAGAGGACTGTCTTATAGCAACACCAGAGGCACTCCAAGTGGCCAGCTACTGGTCAAAGGATATTTAATAGAATGTCAAGTTTGCAAACTTCGTGTTTTCTTTTAATGCAACACAACTGTTTGGTTTGCTCCTGACACGATACATAAATAAATACTAGTGTGGGTTAGTAATCCTAGTTTTGCAAAACAGGGTGTGCGAGGAGAGGAGGAGGTAAAAAGGAAGCCTTATGTTTCTCATAATGAAGTAAAATAAATCAGCACGGATCCAGCAAGAGACAAGCAGGAATTAATCATGTTGCTCCTACTTAGTCTCCCAGGACAACCTCCACTCAAGTTATGAGGTGCCTGCCTTCAGAAACATTCTAAATATATCTGGGGCACCCTTCCCCAGCCTCTGCATCTCACTTCTCTCCCAGCTATATTAGATCTTAGTTCATTCAAAGTTATGCCAAGGGGAGCTTGAGGAGGGGGAAACCAAAAGGTCTTAAGGTTTTTTTCGGTGCTGATTTATTTTTTATGGTTCTCTGTAGACTGGAGTGAGAAACAATTGAAAACAGCTGTATGCCTGGAGCAGTCTGAGAAAATGGCCTTTTTCTTTTACAGTGTGAACAGAAAGTGTCAAAATGTTAGAAAACGCACACAAAAAAGTGTTGTGAACAGATGGTTACAACCTGGGCTTGACCAGCCTTCATTTATAGGATGGATTCTCAAACAATGTTGAGTTTCTTGAAGTCCACATCCACATGAGATCTTTTGGGACTTGGTTTAGTGCATTAGTAAGAAAACAAAAGTGCAGGAAGCAATGTGATAGATAGACAGAAAGAAATAAAAACACGAAGCAAAGTTGGGAAGGAAACTATAGCACGGTGACAAGGTAGCTAATTTACATGTGAATAGTTTCTAGTATCTCTGATTAAGAGCATTTCAGCCAGGAGTAGTCGAAGTACTGTCTTTCATGCAGTACACAAATGTTTCCAGTGCTTCCCCTAAAACCAGGAGTAAAAAATACCTTTAAAAGAAAAGAGATTTCTTAACTCTGTGACAGTTCACAAACTCTAAAGGTAAAGGTTTCCCTTTGACATTAAGTCTAGTCGAGTCCGACTCTGGAAGTGGTGCTCAACTCCATTTTTAAGCCGAAGAGCCGGCGTTGTCCTTAGACACCTCTAAGGTCATGTGGCCAGCATAACTGCATGGAGCGCCATTACCTCCCCGCCGGAGCGGTACCTACTGATCTACTCTCATTTGCATGTTTTCAAACTGCTAAAGTGGCAGAAGCTGGGACTAACGACGGGAGCTCACCCCGCTCCATGGATTCGCACTGCCAACTTTTCGGTCAGCAAGTCCAGCAGCTCAACAGTTTAACCCTCTACACTACTGTGACCCCTCTATGTAGGCCCTAATGTTCCAGTTTCTGTATGCTTTCTACAGTGCTAAAATTACCAAATTTTACAGTATTCTACACTATAATTATCTAAGTATATGGCATATCTCAAAATGATTACATTTTTTGGGTGTAAAAAGCACTATTGCTTTCTTGCCCTTTATAATTAGCTCATTAAGGTTCCCTAAGGTAAGAAGCCAGCTAGTCAAACTGAAATTGGATGGAAACCAAATATTAATATTGTGCGTGTGTGCATGTGTGTGGGGGGGAGATTAGGAAGTGTTATTTTTATTCTTAACCACGTCCTATGCAAACATTTTTTACTCATACCCTGTTAGACTACACTTCAAAGTGGTCTTCACTACCCAGAGATACAGCATTAATTCCCAAGAAACTGTATCAAAGTGAACTGAATCATAAAGATTAGTGCTTATCTCACACAATGCATCATAAAGCCTAATAATTCAGCAAATAAGGATTCCAAGTCAGAAGATACAGTCTTCAGGAAAACTGTAAGCATATTAATTTCTCTACAGCTATTAACCATTCAACAGCCCCTTTCCATTCTCTTTCTCTGTCCACATATTGAGTAGATGAGGCCTCACTAGCACTGGTTACAGGTGGCGATGGAGAAACTCTACATCACCGAGCTACTTTCCATACACTTATTTTTAAACAGGGAGCTCTAATGTCTCATCTAGGTGCCATGACATTTAAAGTGTAATCATAATACTACCACTATACAGTATTCAAAGGCCCCAGATTTTGTGTATGTGTAGATATGTGTATCTATCTAAGAAAAGATGAATACAGCATATCACCAGACAAAAAGAATGGCATTCTAATCAAACCAGTATACTATTGACAACTGGTCACCTTCTCTATGTCTTGCCTCCCCTCCGCACTCACAAGGCCAAATAATAACCAGGATACTTCCAAGTCACTTATAGTAGGGAATTTCTAGTGTGTTTCTTTTGTTGAAATAGCCTTTTAAAGACTGCGGGTAGAATTTATTTCTTGCTTACAGTTTCTTTCTGTCTGTATAGCTCCTTTTTCTTCTTCTTTTTTTTTAAAAAAATGTATACTGGTCAGTTGCTACTCTGGTGCCATGCACCAGATTGCATTATTGCAGCCTGCAATCCTCTACGAGTTCGGTTTTCCTGAGTCTTCGAGCCCACTCCCTTGAGGGGGGTGATCTTTTTGACCATCGGGTTCAAACCCTGCGTGGTTTGCTATTTCTCCGGTCTCAATTCACCAAAGACAAGGAGCTACTGTTCTACCCAGCCTCTAAAACAATGCTGGTAACTCTGAGAACCCTAAGAGTTCTGTGCCAACCGCCACAAGCACCATCGGAAGTCACCTATGTCTTCCCTCCCTCGACAGGGCCAAATAATAACCAGGATACTTCTAAGTCACTTATAGTAGGGAATTTCTAGTGTGTGGTAGGTTGCTACTGGATCTCAGCCTCTGCAAGTTGTCAGCTTGCTCAAAGCAAAAAGCTGAGCCATCCTATCAAAAGAATTAAAACTGTATTATTTATTATGGTACAATGGCTTAGGTACACAGACATAGACACATAGACAAACATACTCCAAAAACACCTCTCAACAAAAGTTTGCCCCAGGCTCTGTCAGACCATTATATGCTAATCAAGGTGGTCAGTTGAAACATTCACACCTAGCTCCAGCAGACAAGAGTCCTTTGTCTCACCCTGGTCATTCCACAGATATATAAACCCACTTTCCTAGTTCCAACAGACCTCACTACCTCTGAGGATGCTTGCCATAGATGCAGGCGAAACGTCAGGAGAGAATGCCTCTAGACCATGGCCATATAGCCTGAAAAAACCTACAACAATCCATACTCCAAAAAGTTATTTATCTTTTTGGTAACTTACAATGATTAATAATCAGGTTTGGACACCTGCCCATGTATGTGTCTTACATGTGTGGGTGACCTTTCCATGCCACTATGGAGGGTTGGTATTCCTGTACACACAGTGTCCTAAACCATTCCTCCCCAAGGCAACTTTAAACTCCTGAATCCACCTCACACAGACAATGAGTTCAACAAAGGCCTATAAGTCACTTTTTTGGAATACTGTTTTTTAAACTAACTAATTCATCTACTGCTAATGTCACCTCTCACATTCTTCTCCAAAAAGGCTTTCTATCAGAATTATGAAGCAATATGGAGTTCTGTCCTACTCAAACACTATCTCCCTCACCAGATGAGAAGGGAATTGCATTCACTAACTGCACCACTTCTATAATATCTCAGTCCATCTGCTTCTGCATTCAATATTCTTGTTGAGAGAGACTTGAAGTAAAAGACTGACCTACCATGGTAGGTCGTCTGTACTATTTAGAACTCTGTTGCCATTCTGTCAAGAAAACACTATTCTTCCCTTTTAATAAATCTCTCTCTGTGTGTATTGCAAAAGATCTTCTACTGTGCCACAAAGATGTGCAATGTAGCCAAACATCCTGCAATTTATTTTGTTCATTGTAAACTGCTTTTCTAAGAGGCTAACCAACTTCCGTCACTCTATTCACACTCACTATTCCACTATTCTTCAGTCACTTTGGCAGGGCAAAAATAAAGCTGGTATTTACCTGATGTGACACTAGTTTAAGGTGAGAGTTAAATCACCTCTTTTTGCTTTGCTTCTCGAATTCTATGCCCCCAATTTGTCCCTAACTTGTACAAAACAGTCAAATAACTGCTTTAAAGGACTTTCAAGGGAATATGTAAAACAGTGAGAAACACGCTACATAACACAGAGGCCTAATATATATTTTTAATGAGGAAGGTTTGAGAACAAAGCTCTGTTCATTACTTTTAACTGTAAGTTTCCCTGAAATATGCCAAATTTTTTTCTAAAGGTCCTCAATCTTTCCTTTCACAGCACCCTCTACTGGGCCTACCATCAATTAACAAAAATAATGGTCTATCTCTGCATAGTACTGAAATTGTTCCTTTCCCACCAGGGATTTCAGAAAAATCTCAGCATCGCTGCTTCACTGAGATGATGCCAGACCAGGCAACTGTAAGGTAGTTGTTATACTACGAAGTGCAGATGACAGATTTGCTGCTGCAAACTCCCTGAAGCAACGTATTTCTCTCTGAGAAACCACAGGTATTTTGGCAGAAAGTCCTATCAGTGATATAATCATGGAAAATGGCTAAGCCTGGGGCTACTTATGTTGTGTTGGATCCCAAAGACACAGTTAGGGTGCTGGGAAGGATCGGAGGTATCATGAATCAACGAGAAACAACAAAAAGGATGGATGTTTAAGTAATGTACAGGTATTACATTATATTAGTGTAATTTTGGTAAGAAATTATAGATAGATGAGAGATAAACAGTTTAAAATAAAAAGAGATCTACTATCTCAATTTTGTACTCCTCAGCCAAATATTAGAAGACAAGAGGAGCATTATTTCTTAAAGAGCAATTGGAAGGACAAGTAGGACCTAATAACGAATGGTTTAGTTATTTGTTGAAAGGAGAGAAGGTGCTTCAGAGCTCTTCCTTCATGCAGGAGGTTAAAAAATATTCCTGCTAGGACCTCATGAAGATGCAAGCTAGTGAACCTTGTCCATGCCTTCAAAGTTCTCCTTTCTCAGGTAGGAAAGCTGCTTAGAGTTGGAACAGCTTTCTTGAGGAACATCTCAACAGGCTTTGAAAAGTATTCGCTTAGATTTGCTGTAAGAGTATGAAAACTTCTCTGCCGAAGAAACACCTGATGCATATGTGCTCCCTTCTGATTCCTCTCCAATTGCCATGTGGGCATTTTCATTGTGCAGGTGTCTCCCCACATTGTGTAACCAACTGTACAACCAAATGTCACACTCACATTTACCTATGTCTATTAAATTTAGGATTATCTTGAATATGCAGGGAGTTTCCCCTGTGCTAGAACAATGTATTCCAATTACATAAATATCATCATATACTGCTGTTTGTTTGTTTGTTAAAATGCAATACAACTGTTTGGTTTGCTCCTGACATGATAAATAAATCATTTACTGCTGAAGCAAAAGATGTTTTTCCTTATAGGAATCGGAACAGAGCACATATGCATCAGACCTTCCTTAGGCAGAGAGGTTTTCATACTCTTAGCAGAAGCCACTGACAGCAAATCTAAGCCACTAATTTTCAAAGCCTCTTGAGAAGTTCCTCAAGAAAGCTGTTCCAACTCTAAGCTGCTTTCCTACCTGAAAAAGGAAAACTTTGAAGGCATGAAGAAGGTTCAGTGAGACTAAACTAATCTAGCTTGCCTCTTCTGGACTTTCTAGTGGGAATAATGACTTGAGAATTGCCTGATTTGAACAAGAAAGGACAACATTTAGACAAGGGTTCTTGAATATTTCTGAAGGAACTCAGGACCATACAAATTCTAGTGACTACAACATTAGGAATGTGTGGATGCTTTGATTGCATATCCCTTTAAGACTGAGATAGAAATTTTATCCCGTTTTCTACCCTTTTGAAGAAATTTCTGAACAAATATGGCATTTTCATAGACAGGTGCAAGCTATGAGAAGTTTTCTTGGCAAATGAAATTCTTCTCTGAAGATTAGAGATGCTTATGATGTGAGTGGAAGACAGGAGAGGGCAACAAAATCACTGCAGCTCCAGGACAACCTGGTTGATATATTCCACACTAATTGTGATTTATGACAATAGTAATCCCTTTTTAAATTTGTCACTTTCTTCTGGCTCCCTTCAGATTACGTGTATGATTTTTCATAGGATTGACGAGTTGCTCCTTTAAGGCTCTTTAAAAATCTATGTACTACTGACTCTAGAAGATGTTATAATTGCCTTTTAAGTGTATCATCAATGTTTTAAAATTAATCATTTTAAGCTGATTATCACCTCTCAAGTACATGGTTTAAGAAGAAAAAGTAAATGTCAAGGGATAAATACCCTCAATAATACCGCTGTGAACGCTTGATATGAATATGGTTAAAGGTCAAGCTGAAGAAAGTAAAACCATTAATTAGAGATACAAAAGGAATGTATGTTGACTAATGTAAAGTTTTAAACACATGTTATACACAGAGCTGCAACAGAACTTGGAAGAAACATGAAACATAACTACCTGTGTGATGTTACCTTTTTAAAATGTTATTTTTTAAATAATAAATCCGTAACAAGAAATGGAAATGAAGGCATGCCTTTTTTCAGTGGGATGAGGGGGTGTGTAGTAGTAATTACTTTTAAAATGGGAATTGTAAGGGTTTTTTGAGCCATTTTCAATTGAATTTCTATATCACAGAATCGTAGAGTTGGAAGAGATTTCGTGGGCCATCCAGTCCAAACCTTATCAAGAAGCACGAAAATAACATTCAAACCACTCCCGACAGATGGCCATCCAGCCTCAGCTTAAAGAAGGGGCCTCTGTCACACACCAGGGCAGAGAGTTCCACTACTGAAGAGCTCTCAAAGTTAGGTAGTTCTTCCTCATGTTCAGGTGGAATCTCCTTTCCTATAGTTTGAAGACCTAATTCTGTGTCCTAGTCTCCAGGGCAGCATCCTTCTCTGGGTGCTCAAACAACACAATGTAAAAGTAACAAGTAACATAAGGAGTTACTTAAAACTTCTTGCCGCAACAATGGCAGTTAATCAAAGGGGCAGTGATAGACTTTGCAACAAGTAACACAATAAATTCATGTTAAGAAGTAACTTTGCAGACCCTGAACTGCATGGAAAGTATCTGCAAGACCTATGAAAGGGAGCAATATTTTGCAGATGAAATTATCTTGGCACAACTGTACTATCTTGCAAATGTCAATGGCTTGACTGCTGACTGTCAGAAGGTCTCTGTTCATGATCAATGCCTACACTGAAGACCATATGTATGATATTCTGCATTCGTTAAAGCAGCGGTTCTCAACCTGTGGGTCCCCAGATGTTTTGGCCTTCAACTCCCAGAAATCATAACAGCTGGTAAATTGGCTGGGATTTCTGGGAGTTGTAGGACAAAACACCCGGGAACCCACAGGTTGAGAACCACCGCCTTAAAGGAAGAAAAGGAGATATTAAAACAAATAAAAGCAACCATAAAATTATATCCTTAGATAACTGAAATTCAGATTTAGTCTCAGTGCGATGACATCACCCCTTATATTTTGATCCTTTGGTATGTATGGTTCTCATATATAAAAATTAATGTTAATCAAAGCAATTACTTGCCATTAATTTATGATGAGCAACTTTTCACCATGAAAAGAAATTTCGCTTTTGTCTTACCTTGTCACTGTCTAGTGTATTTTGTGAGGTTCGGGATGCAATTGAAATAGTATCAGGTTGACTACTGCCATCTCCTTGACTATCCAGGTCTTCTCCATCTCTGTAAAAATGAGAAATTGGGAGTCATTAACTGGAAAGCACCATCATTTTGAGGATGTTAACATTCAGTTCTATAGAATAAAAGGATGCAAATTTTAACCTGCAATACATAACCTAAGAGAACAAAAATCAAGAGTTGCCTAGTGTATGCATACTGTTTTGCTTTCTGGATTGATGAGGATTAGTACAGGCTAATAATACAAATTACACAGAATATGTGTATTTAGTAAGAACCATGGAAGATCACCAGGAAATACAGAAAATGCACAAAAAGTGGGCATTTCATTACATTGAAAATTTCCATATTGACCATGCTTATTTATGAATAATTATAATGAAATAAGTCTCTGCTATTCTGGGAATTTATGCACACGTCCATACAAACTTGCAATACTCATCTCTCCAAGGTACAGTTTTTTTTTCCTGGTAAATCTGTGCTTTTAGAAATGTCAACACCAGTCCAATCCAGGACCTAGCAAGTCAGTTACCTCGTGACCTGAAATTCCCCATGAGATACACTTGTGTGCTAGCCAAAATGACTTCACAGGTGAAACACAACCACATATTTGAATGCTGATTCAGCCATACAAAGCTCAAAGCAACATGCAACTGAATAAAACATGTGTTCAAGATTTTCTTTAAGTAATTAAACCTAAAGAACTTATGGTACTGTGATCTAACTTATCAACATCAGAATTTAACTACGGCATCTAGTTCCCAAAAAGAGTTCAGCCACACAGTTAAAATTAATCTGATGAGTAACTGGCTGAAAAGTGAATTTTTGTCTTTTTTTGCAGTGAACTGGGACTCTACTAACCTTCTTCCCTTCTGTTTTGTCGTTGGTGCCGTTTTGGGAATATGAATTGGCTCTTTTAAAGCTCCTTTGAGATGGATTGTTCTTTCCTGTATCACCTCTCTGATGTGCTTGATCCAGTCTTGTTTGTTCTCAATACTGGAAGCCTTTAAGATAAAAGAATGGCAGAAAAGTCCTCTGGTTAACTCAATGTGTAAAACAAACCTAACCGTTCCCACTTATAGGATATTTGTGAGTGCACCAAACAAACATATTGATTTCTGTGTATTGACTGTCATGGCTGGAATCACTGGGTTGTTGTATGTTTTCCAGGCTATGTGGCCATGTTAACATGGCCATATAGCCCAAAAAACCTATAACAACATATATTAATTTCTGCTTTGAATTATGACAAAACTTTGCCTGTTTCTTGAACAGTTATGTCATTTGCATTACACAAAAATATCCCAGGATTCTAAGGGCAAATCAACTCCTACAATGTAATTACATGCTGGATAACACTGGTATACAAGCAGACCCTGGGTTACTAACAAGATAGGTTCTGTAGGTTTGTTCTTAAGTTGAATTTGGTTGTAAGTCGAAACATACATTTTGTAAGTGTAACTCTAGCCAAATATATATTTTTCACTTTGGATACTATAGGGAAGGGTTAGCACCCCTGTAACAGTTTGTTTTGCTCTGTGCTCGTGTTCAGAAGATTTCTGTCCCTGTGACGATTGGATTTTGAAAATTTGTGGGTTCCATGGAAATAAGGATTGATGATACAGCTTCAGTGCAGACACCCTTTCCCCATGATAACTTTTACAGGAGTGAATTAGCTTTGAGAGGTGCATGATTCCTCTCACTTCCTATTGTCTCACAAGCAATAGAACATAAATACAGATCTCACAACATTTATATGGAAAATTATACTTAGGGCATCAAGCCATAACAGAAATGCTATATTGTGGCAAAACAATACTGTATTATGAAGACAGCAGCAGACAGAGTGAGACTCCTGGGTTAAAATAAGAGAAAACTCATCTTATATAGTTAAAGAGTTCTGCAGTCATCTCACATGGTTAATATAAACACTTACTACAGTTCAGGTATCCCAAGGTAAAGGTACAGGTTTTCCCCTGACATTAAGTCCAGTCGTGTGTGACTCTGAGGGTCATCTCCATTTCTAAGTCGAAGAGCTGGCATTGCCTGTAGACACCTCCAAGGTCATGTGGCCACCATGACTGCATGGAGCGCTGTTACCTTCTCGCTGGAGTGGTACCTATTGATCTACTAACATTTGCATCCCAAAACAACCTCTAAAGTAGCAAGTAATATAATATTTAAAGCACAGCAATCTTCTCTGAGTTAATGGCAATGAGCACAAATGTACTGTTAAAAAGCAATGCTTCAAAACTCTGGAGACCTCTATAGACCCCTCTATGTGAGCATCAAAGTCTGGGTATGTTCTCCACAAAACCGGTTCAAATTTCAATTATGTAGGAAATAACATTATCAATTATATGAGTTTTCTCAATTACCTTTAGTACAATTTTGTTGTCTGAAGTAGGAGTCCTTCCAACCCACAGTGCAAATTTGCAAGGATCACCCTCCACATGCTCTGTGACACCCAATTCAGACGTCTGCAAATAAAAGAGACAAGGATGAAAATATATTCCTTTGTAAACTTTATAATAGTCAATTATTTTCGAATCTGAAGAGACACTTTTCATAAATTTACATCCTAAGTTATCCTGTGTCATAAAAACATCTCATGAGACCAGAAGTGTATGCATGGCAAAGCCACTACTTGAAATTGCTTATTGTTTTCTGACTGGGTTTGTGGTTTTTACTTTAGTCATGTTTCATGGCTAGCCTCCAACAATTTCCCCTTATTAATATCACTAAAGATTTCCTAATGTCTACTATGCTATCATCTTAAATTGAAAGCTCAGTTTACCACAGATTGACTGATGGTTTCGTCAAGCTACCAGAATTTTTAAAAAAAGTTTGAAAAGATACTCTTCTAACGCAAATGGATAGAAGGACATGCCAGAGTCTATCATAACTTAGCAGTGGGATGCTGATGCTCTGAGACACAGAGAATAAATCTAGTGATAGGTTCCAATATGCCGTCATAGCCATTTTTAAATAATTTAACATCCCAGCTGTATTTTTGAATGTTGTGAGCAGAAAGAGATTGAAATACAGGTTGAGGCAGCATAACTTTCTTTTTTAAAATGCGCGCCATTCAGTCAGTTGAAGACATAGCAGAGCGCTAGTGGTCTTGTTTGAGAGGCGGGAGTATAAAGTTTTGTCCTGTTACAGTTCAGTCACCATCATGCGTTGGAACAGTGAGGAACGTGCTTTTGCCGTTGAGGCCTACTTTTCGAGCGGATTTGGAGTGGCCCGCTCTCCAGTTTTGGCCCTTTGTGATTTTTTTCCCAATGGGTTTTTTTGAAATACCGTGCTTATGTGAACCGTCCAAGGACCCTACAAGATTTAAAGACCAACATCCAGGAAGAAATTGCCAACGTAACGCCTGCTATGCTGGCAAGAGTCATGACAAATGCCAGAAATCGGTTTACTCAGTTTATGGAGAATTGGAGACATCACCTACCTAATTTGATCTTCAAAACTACGTAAAATAAAACTTTAGGTATGTGTCTACATTATAAAAAAATCTCATTCATACAATGGGTTTTATTAAGTTTTGAAAAAAGGAAATTATGCTGCCTCAACCTGTAAAACTAGGTAAGATATCAAATCAGGAGAAGTTAATCTCGACTGCTATTCTCTGTGGATAAAGATTTATCAATTGGTTGCAGCAGCTAGTTTACTTTAGGATAGGTTTAAGCAAGGTTCAACCATTAATTCACAATGCAATCTGTTTTATTAATGATCTCTTGAGGTGTTGTTGTAAAATTCTCCAAAGATGGAACAATAGCAAAAGATTTTAAAACTTTATATATAAAGTTCTGGTCATTACCTATAAAGCCCTAAACAGTTTGAGTCCAGGCTATTTGTCCAATTGCATCTCCCTATATAGATCATCCCGTGCACTGCGGTTAGCAGAGGAGGCTCTGCTCTCGGTCCCACCCCCATCTCAAGTACGGCTGGTGGGAATGAGAGAGGGGGCCTTCTCAGTGATTGCTCCCTGACTCTGGAACTCCCTCCCTAAAGAAATAAAAATTGTTCCCACCCTCCTCTCCTTTGAGGACACACTTTGCGCTTTAGCGTATGGAGAGGATGACGACTAAGATACTATTCCATAGGAACACTGGCGAACCTATCTGCACCATATGATGGCTATGAGACATCTTAAGAAACACCTATGTTAGCCATTTCATATGAAACTCATTTCTAACTGTTTTTAATGATATATGTTTAATGTTTACATGCCCTAGTTTATTGTCTAATTTAGGTTTTTCATTATAATTTTATTGCTATTATTGTGTATCATTTGGTATTATTCTTGATGTTGTTTGTTACTTTGTAAGGCATCAAATGTTTGTTTGTTTTTGTGCTGTAAACTGCCTTGAGCCCTATTCAGGAGAGAGGTGTTGTCTAGAAATAAAGTTTTATTATTATTATAAACTGAAAAACATCATGAGATGTCAACCATCTTTCATACAGTGGGGTATTACTACATAGGCATTTAATGAGACTCTTCTAAACTCTAGTTTTGACTTCTCTATTGCTTTTCTGTATTCCATTTCAGATGTCAAACAGGATATGGCAGGATAAAAATAGTCATTCTGCACAGGACAAAGAAAAGGCCCTCCACCACATCAGACATGAAGCAGAGCACTGGAATAATTTCAAAAGCCAAAAGATGACATGTCTGGACTTTGTTTCTTGACATGCTGCCGTTGACGTTCAGTTGTAGATCACTCTCACTTTACATGGTTCAATAGAGCTAGTTCAAGAGGCTTTTCATCTCTAGGTCAAATCCTGGCTTAGGACAAAAGCCATCATGTTTGGTTGTGTCAATCATAGGGTTTCAGGCAAATTGCTGTGACTGGCAGTCTGTGCCCTGGAGATACTCCTCTGTCTACTGTGAGCTCTTTCTAGGTCACAGTTGAAGAGCAGTGCTAGGGATACATGTGTCTGCTTCAGGCAGTGATTTTTACTGTACTCCAGCAACCAAAAATTGTCTCCCTATGCAGATATTAGTTTCTTTTACAGTTAAGAAGCATAAATCAGTGCTACTTAATGGTGGAGCAAATCTGGGCCTGAGTCATTGGCTGCTAGTCCCTGAGGAATTTCAGGAAAGGAGATATCAATTTTATAATTTGGCCCATAACAAACGCCCGTGTTTGGAAGAAAATAAATAAATCCTGGCACCCCACACCAGACAACCCGAGAAGCACTGGCAAGAGGAATGGTATATTGCTCTTTGAGCAAGCTTTTGAGAATGCAGCGGAATAGATAACACGGAAATATGAATGATGAACATGGAATGGCCAGACAATGTTACTAGATAACGTTTTTAACAAGGTGACACCAATGATTATATGCTTTAACAGTTTTTATTTATGTTTTATATTGTAATGTTGATTGTTTTTAATGATACTTTTATGAATGCCTGACATTGAATTGTGCCAATTTGTAACCCGCCTTGAGTTGCCATATGGCTGAGAAAGGCGGGCTATAAATATAGTAAATAAATAAAAATAAATAAATAATATAGATTTTCTGGGGACAGTCTTTGAACATCTTTCTTAAATCTTGTAAGAAGATGAGCTGCTTTAAGACAGAGGTGGAAATTATGAGGCTTCCAGATAATGCTGAAATGCACCTAGCAGTATACCTCACCAGTAGCTATGCTGGAAAGGATTGCTGAGAATAGCAACACCAGGAGAGTTGGGTTACTGTGAGTTTTCTGGGCTCTATGGCCATGTTCCAGAAGTATTCTCTCATGATGTTTCACCCACATCTACGTCAGATATCCTCAGAGGTAGGCATTCCACAGATATATAAACCCCACTTGCCTAGTTTCCAACAGACCTCACAAGCTCTGAGGATGCCTGCCATAGATGTGGCTGAAATGTCAGGAGAAAATGCTTCTGGAACATGGCCATACAGCCCGGAAAACTCACAGCAAGCCAGTGATTCTGGCTATGAAAGCCTTTGACAACACTAGGAGAGTTGCTGGATTCCCACCCATGCTTTAAAGAAATACTAAAAAGCCTTCAACAACACAAAGACTAAAAAGGCAGTGATTCCCTTTATTTTAGAGGACATCTACTTGGAATTGAAAATTGGACATTTATTTATTTAAAACATTTATATTCTGCCCTTCTCACCCCGTAGAGGACACAGCATATATACAGCAAACATTCAATGCCGGGACACGAATTCATATACACATACATAAACATTAAAACAATTTATCTCAATATCAAAACACACCATTTAAAACCGTCCTAGTCATCAGCGTCAAATCTAATTGGCCTGGTAATATTTCCCATTACTGCTTTATTGCCCTGTCCTGAAAGCTTGGTCCCACAGCCAAGTTTTTACCATCCTTCTAAAGGACAGGAGGGAGGGGGCCAATCTGATCTCACAAGGAAGGGAGTTCCATAGCTGGGGGGCAATCACCGAAAAGGCCCTGTCTCTCACCCCTACCAATCGTGCCTGTGACAATGGTGGGACGGAAAGCAGGGCCTCCCCAGAAGATCTTAATCTCCGCGATGGTTCATAGGGGGAGATGTGTTCAGACAGGTAAGTTGGGCCAGGGCCATTTAGGGCTTTATAGGCCAAAGCCAGTAACAAACAGGCCGCCAGTGGAGCTGGCATAACATGGGAGTTGTATGCTCCCTGTATGCCACTCCAGTTATTAACCTGGCTGCCTCTCATTGGACTATTTGAAGCTTCCAAGCAGTCTTCAAAGGCAACCCCACATAGAGTGCGTTGCAGTAGTCTATCCTAGACGCAACGAGAGCATGGACCACCGTGGCCTGGGTTTATTACATTGAACTGCAATGTATTGAACTTACAAACAATTTGCTCTTGTAGATGTATTTGCTTCTCCCACTGGAGTCTTTCACCTCTTTACTAAAGACCAGCGACATCTCAAAGAGGAACAGATGCCTCTCTCGGCCTTTCCGAATAAGGGTCTTAGGATCCCATACTTGGAAGGATTCCTGAAGGATGAGCTCTCCCTGAGATTCAATGTTCTCATCAAAACCTATGAAGAAAATTGGGACAATTGAAAAAAGTAGAGGAAAAGAATAATCTCATACAGGATTCAGCAAAAAGGACGATATGCATTATTACACTGGCTTCAAAACTTTTGTTTCAAACCATTGCTAGGAGAACGCATGTGGCATAAGATTGTTACCTATTGGGGTACTGAGTAGCCAAGTTCAAGATCTATCAATATTGCAAATGTATTTGATATAACATATGCTACTACTGTACTGACTTCCCTGTTAGAGAAGAAATTAGGCAGATTTACCTACATAAAAGCAAATAAAATTAGAGAGAATGCCATCTAACTTTCTTTTTCAACTAACATGACTATTACACTACATAACACAATTTGAAAAAGATTCTGTTCCTGGTTTGAAAGTGTTATTTCCTGTTTAATTGTACAGTACTTGCTTTGAAAGTAGTTGTTATAGTTCAGGAACTTCGTTTTCGTGGCAGCCACAAACTATGTTGAATTGGTTGAGACTGTATGAGATATTCATTGAAAAACAAGAGCAAAATGTGGTGCAGGATGTCCCGCAAAAACAACATTTTGGTAGTTTAATAATTCTTTTTCGTATTTTTATGATAGACCCAATTAGGAAATTGGACCTTTATAATACAGGAACAATAACAGCATAGTGTTATTATTAGAAAAAAAAATAGTGTATGTATATGCATTCAGCAAGGAAGGAAGACCTTTCAAAAACCCACACTCTAGAAATAACCAGCAAGTTATTTGCAGTGGCATATAATAACTCAACAAGAACTGTGTTTCATCATCTCTGAGATATTTAAAGGAATCTGAGGAAGAGATCCTAAATCACCTACTACTTTAGAATTGCTCTGAAAAATACTGCTGCACCAACCAACCACTAAGATTACACAGTTCAGCTAGTTCTGCTGTGTACAGCAATAATTAGATGTTAGTCTGTTGCTGGTGCTTGGAATTATATATAATATCTCACAATTAGTTAAATACCATATCAAATAATAATAATAAGAAGTTATTTTTATATATTGTTATGTGCCATCAGACTTATTCTGATTTGTAATTACTCTTCCACAAGGCTTTTTTGGGGTGAGATTCATGGGTAGTTTGCTACTGCTTTCTTCTAAGGCTGAAAGAGTGTGATTTGCTCGATGTTCCCCAATGGGTTTCCATGATAGTAATAACTTTATTCCTATATCCCGCCAACATCTCCACGAAGGGACTTGAGGAGGCTTACATGGGGCCCAGCATAAACAAGGGCTACAAAGTAATACAAATAAAGCATATTAAATTATAAAATATAGTTAAAACAATAAACCAAAACAATAAAAACGTATTAAAAAGACTTTAACCAACACTGTTAACCAGTAGCCAGAAAAAGTGGGTTACTTTTTGCTAGGGAATTGATAGGGAAGGGCAAGGGCTTGTGCAAATGCAAAACTGTAGGGCCGGGTCGGAAGTAAAGTGCTGCGAAATCAAAACTATAAAGTAAGGTTGGGTAGTCCTAATCAGGAGCGAAACTGTTATTCAAACACATGTAACCAGTAGCCAGGAAATGTGGGCATGTTCAGATTTGATAGGGCAGGGCAAGGGCTTGTGCAAACACAAAAACTGTAGGTAGGGCCAGAAGTAAAGTGCTGGGAAATCAAAACCGTAAATTAGGGATTGGGAAGTCCTAATCTGGTGCTAAACTGTTATTCAAAGGCACATTGGAATATCCAAGTTTTCAAGTCTTTCTGGAAGGTGGACAGAGTGGGGACTAATTTAATCTCCTTGGGAAGAGAGTTCCAGAGCTGGGGGGCCACCACTGAGAAGGCTCTCTCTCCCTCGTTTCCACCAACTGCACTTGTGACAGAGGTGGGAGCGAGAGAAGGGCCTCCCTGGCAGATCTTACAGCCCACGCCAGTTCATAGAGGGAGATACGATTTACGTCAGAGTGGGGATTTGAACCCTGGTCTGAAGTCTTAGATCAACTCGCAAACCATTAAAATATACTCGCTCTCCTTTATTTGTTACGATTACACTAAGGATAAAGCCTTACAATCAAGTGGATTAAGCATTAAACAAAATGTTAAAACACAAAAGTGCCACAAAATGGCATGCCAATGTTAATATCATGCCTATTCCTGCCTTCCAGAACAAAACCTAAAAGTATACGGCAATAAGACTTTATAAATTATAGTGCATAATCCATCAAAAGCCATGAATATAAACAGATGGATTGGGAGATTTAGAGATCAGTTCCTAAAAGGAAATACTTTCACTTGAGATGTCAACATGTCAGCTATACAAATACTCAACAGGGTTTGTTTAAAAGACTGAACTGTGGAAAAGAAATATTGGAATATTCCATGAAGCACATTCACATACTCCTTGGCAAGATGACTGTGTTAGAGTCTATGCTCACTCCAACACGTCTATTTAAATATAAGTAATAGTTCCACCAATTTTTATACAAGTTTGCAAGCCTCAATTAGAAAATAATTGAAGTGACAGGCTCTGCACTATATAGACTTACTACAAATCATGATGTGAGCAAAACAGTAGATTTTTTTTCTTATTTAGTGAATTGGCAGCCATATTTCTAAAATACTGTATATACAATGCGCATTAAGAAGGCCGTCAATTTAGAGGCGGCTCAAAATGAAGATTTAATATAGAATTATCTAGGAAGAATCTAACTGGTTAATTAGAAAAGTCAAAACATCTCCACTGCATGACAAAAATGGACTAAATACAATAAATTCAAATGCATCTATATTATACCCTACACTCTAAGCATTTTCTTATTATATTGTCGAAGGCTTTCATGGCCGGAATCACTGGGTTGTTGTAAGTTTTTTGTAGGTTTTTCCGGGCTATATGGCCATGTTCTAGAGGCATTTTCTCCTGACGTTTCGCCTGCATCTATGGCAAGCATCCTCAGAGGTAGTGAGGTCTGTTGGAACTAGGAAAAAGGGTTTATATATCTGTGGAATGACCAGGGTGGGACAAAGGACTTTTGTCTGCTGCAGCTAGGTGTGAATGTTTCATTTTCTTATTCTTACAAAATCCATCAAGCTGACCACTGATGTTCATTTATGATTTCTGTTTCTCAAGAACAGGATCTTCCAGATCATTCCTATTTTTTATTTTATTTTAGGTAATCTCAATACCACCTAGAGGCAGTTTGAATGAGGATAGTGATTGCTTGGGACTCAATTTATTAGTCTTGTGCATTTGAATAAAATCGCTATGTTTCAGTTTGTTACATACGCATGGCCCCATTTCTGTTTTTGAGTGCCGCTTCCAAAAATGGGTGCCTTTCCAAATGGGGTATTTTGTTCAGCATCCGAAAGAATGAACATTTTTGTCCCACTGGGGGCAATTGGAGGTCTTCCCAGGCTCCCTTTCCCCTCAGTTTTAGGGTTAGAGCAGTGGTTCTCAACCTGGGGTCGCCAGATGTTTTTTGCCTTCAACTCCCAGAAATCCTAACAGTTGGTAAACTGGCTGGGATTTCTGGGAGTTGTAGGCCAAAAACATCTGGGGACCCCAGGCTGAGAACCACTGGACTAGAGGGAGGGAGGGAGGGAGGGAGGGGGGGGAGAGAGGTTTGTTTCAAGGGACTGTTGGTGAGGGTCCACAGAAGTGGCAAGGTCTGTGTAATGTGGTCAGAAGTTTGACCAAGAATGGTAAAATTCCTTTGAAGGTGGCAATATGACACCTTTTCCCAACCCAATGGCTGTTTTTCTTAAAAAGTATTACAGATGTGATGTAACTATTCCTGGAAAAGCAGCAATTTAGAGGGCAGAACAAGGCAGGCCAGGTACAGATAGAGAGATTGGAGGTTTGAGAGAGGGAGGGTGGTTTTCAAAGGGGAAGAAATTATTCTACTGAAGCCCAACAAATACTTTCTTTTGAAAAATAATAATTTTAAAAAATCAGAAGGCAGAATAGCCACAGAGAGAAATATATCAGAAGTAGAAGTAAGGAATGCAAATACAGTACTAGAAGGGGAGGTAAAAAAGTGGTTTTGGAGGGTTTTTCTTTTGGTTGAATTGCTATTACAGCACTATAATTATAATTAATATTTTTCACAAGGCTTTTTAGGGATAGGAGAGGTAGGAAGGAGAAAACAGAATTAGGGTGACCTGGACTAAGGCTCTGTGAGCCACCCAAAGATTTTAAAATATTTTAAAGGAAAAGAAAAGAGAAGAAAAGAAAGAATCTGAGCAGTGAACAAAGAGATGCCCTTCTCCCCAAAGCTCTGAGTGTGCATGTCGGCACCAAGGGGCGATGTTGATTTAGGATTGTCTGCACGCCCTCATCTTTCTTTGAAAACCCTTTCCTAGTTGTACCCTACTTTGTTCATGCCCAGCATTATTTTTAAATTTTAATTATTACATTTGGCCCGGCCATAGGTTTTTAAATTCTTATGTTATTGTTTATTGTGTTTTTTTGTTTATGAGATTTATTTTAACTGTTTTGTATTGATTATTTGTGATTGCTTTCGTTTATTGATGTACTGCGGGCTTGGCCTCATGTAAGCCACACAGAGTCCCTTGGGGAGATGGTAGTGGGGTACAAATAAAGTATTATTATTATTATTATTATTATTATTATTATTATTATTATTATTATGTCCGGCGCAACCCACCCCCACCCGTTCAAAACTCCCAGTCCCTGTAAATAAAAATAATGAAATAAAAATAAAGAAAAGATGCCAGGAGCCAAGCACAAGCAGCCAAGCTAAGGAAAAAAATAGTGGCTGGCTGGCAGCAAGGCAAGCAGGCAGAGGAGCGAACTCCAAGACTGACAGATGAGCGCTTTGGGAGCGATCGCCCCCAATAGCCTGAGCAATGTGTGCCCACAACACTATGTTCTTCTCCTCTGATTGACCCAACTGGGCTCAGAGGCAAAACAACGTGGAAATACTCCCTGGACCATGCCATTTGGCCCGAAAAGCAGGCGACTACACAGTTAATGTCACTACTTCCCTTTTTCTTTCACTATTATTTTCGTACTGTGGGGGGGGGTTGAACCTTATTGTGCCATCAGAATAAAAAAAAAAAGAACAAAAATGTGAAATAAATTGATGAAATGGTTACCGGGCCCATTACTACTATTTATTATATAGGAGCCCCCGGTGGCGCAGTGGGTTAAACCCCTGTGCCAGCAGGACTGAAGACTGACAGGTTGCAGGTTCGAATCCGGGGAGAGGCAGATGACCTCCCTCTATCAGCTCCAGCTCCTCATGTGGGGACATGAGAGAAGCCTCCCACAAGGATAAAAACATCAAAATCATCCAGGCGTCCCCTGGGCAACGTCCTTGCAGATGGCCAATTCTCACACCAGAAGCGACTTGCAGTTTTTCAAGTCGCTCCTGACACGACAAAAAAAATATTATATCTCCATGTATGCACCCCACTGGTCAGAAGGGTGCGTGCAATAAATATCCATTGCCACCACAAACAACCTAGTACCAATGCAACTGCACTTGTGCAGTGCTTATAAACAGTTGTTTCATTGCAAAATTTTCATTTATTTGTACTTTTCGAATGGGTGGAGTAGGATCACATATGATCAGAAAAATAGACTGGTTTAAATACAGCCTTTGAGAATTGCAATCACAGAGGAGTGTGTTCTTACCTTCCAGCATGCTGAGATGCATGGCATCATTGGCTCGTTTCGGCACGCTAAGCATTACTTCTAAACCGTCTTTAATCTCACCTTTACCTTCTTCACAGCAAGTGAGCAGCTCCTGCAAAGTCAACAAAATCATAATTAGATCATGTGTCACTATTAGACCATTTCTACGCAGGCTGTTTCTTCTAGCTGGGTACAAGTGTGTATGCTATCAGACTAATTTGTTCTCTCCTCTATTGACTTGTTTTCCCCTCTACTGCTTGCACAGAAGCTGGTGGTAAACAATATTAATATTCCATAACTCTCACCTTTAGAGAAATGAACAACTATCCTCTGGACTCACATATGCCTATAAACAAAATGTTTTATGTTTATATTTATAAGATCTGACACATGTTGATGGATCCTACCCCCCAGCAATCTTGAGTAACTGCTTTAAGAAATTCAAAATTATTTTTCTGGACATCTGCCAGATGTTTATTGAACAAACTGGCCTGTGATCTGGATCAAAAACAAATTAGCTCTGTACTACAGAGCCCAACACAGCTTATGTCAGGCTACACTGAGCCTAGAAGACTATACTTTCCAGGATGGTATAGTTGTACATTCCAGACAGCTGTCTTTTATGCTTGTGCAATTTGGCCAAAACGCATGCTGTTTTTAGTTCTGTTTTCAGATAACCCCTCATTCTGTTCAGGGGAGTTACTCGAATTGGAAAGGGGGAGGTGTTGCTGTTTTTATCCGGCAAAGATTCGGCCCATTGGCTACAACGGGAAGCTTTAGAGCAGGGGTCCTCAAACTAAGGCCCGGGGGCCGGATACGGCCCTCCAAGGTCATTTACCTGGCCCTCGCTCAGGGTCAACCTAAATCTGAAATGACTTGAAAGCACACAACAACAATAACAACAACAACCCTATCTCATCAGCCAAAAGTAGGCCCACACTTCCCATTGAAATACTAATAAGTTTATATTTGTTAAAAAAATTCTTCATTTTAATAATTGTGTTGTTTTTAAGTATCTTTTGCAATACAAATAAGATATGTGCAGTATACATAGGAATTAATTCACGTTTTTTTTCAAATTATAATCCGGCCCTCCAACAGTTTGAGGGACTGTTACCTGACCCTCTGTTCAAAATGTTTGAGGACTCCTGCTTTAGAGGATCAATCTTCAGTTATGTTAAGCCGATCTGCATGAAATCTACCTCAATTTTAAATCCCATTTACAACTGCAGGTCTGCTAAGTTTCAGAACAATTCACCAATCTAACTATTTTTTTTAATCATTTTAAGTTTTTACCACAACATTAAAAAATATGACAAACTGCAAGAGAGGGTTCTGGGAATTGTGGTTATTGGTTGTGTCCATTCTCAGTCAATCAGAGCGTGGACACAACCAGCTGAGAGAGAGAGAGAGAGAGAGAGAGAGAGAGAGAAAACTTCAACTTCCATTATGATTCGAGATAACTTAAGAGACTTTTCAATGCCTGTCCCATGCAAGTGCTGCTGGGAAAGTGAGTTCCCATCAGGGCCCTCTCTGGAGGAGGAGCCTAGGGAACTTTTCCAGAAAAATGGACGCCGCTGCCCATGCCGGAGAAGGAGAAAAGATGTTGCAGCTAATCCCTTCTCCAGGAGCCCTGCAGCAGACCCCTGCCTCAGATATTTTGCAGAGTTAACTCCATCCTCTCCAGTTGGTGAAAAATCTTGATTTGTTTCAGCAGGCTTTCTACCCCACCCTCCCAGCTTTGATTTTGGGGGACATACAAAACTAACCACTGAATTTTACAAATCACTTTAATTCAAACCGATCCAGGTCCAACCCTACTGTCTTCATGTAAACCAGTTATGACAGTTGTCATTATTATGATGCTTATTAATAGCCTGCTTTCTCTCTCCACAAAAAAAGACTCCAAGAGGCATTAAAAACATTTCAATACAATTTAAAAACTACAAATATACAAACATTAAAACAGAAATGAATATCAATGGTATTTTTTAATCAGTTAAAAATCAATAAAAAGCTGATTTATATCTCCATGTGGAGCAGGGGAGAAAGAGATGAAATGAAGGCTGAGAGACTCAACAGTCTAAGAGGTTCGGAAAATTTTTAGAAGCTTGAAAAAAAGTAGCTCAAGGGATAAAGTATGGGATTTTTTTTAAGCAATAAAGGATCTAGAGATAGAGAAGGGATGAAATGAATGATTGGAGCAAATAAGAATGAAAAATGTGAGACCTCTGCTGTAGTGAAACAATATGAGTATGTCCTATTGGAGAAACTGGCAGAAACATGACAGACCTTCTAGGGCAGTGGTTCCCACCCTGGGTCTCCAGATGGTTTTAGTCTTCAACTCCCAGAAATCCTAACAGCTGGTAAACTGGCCAGGATTTCCGGGAGTTATAGGTCAAAAATATCTAGGGACCCCAGGTTGAGAACCACTGAGCTAGGGATTTCTTCCTCATATGGGGACACTTTTTTCTTGCCTACTGGAGCGAGTGGGAGGGCAACTCAATTCGATCAACACCTAAATCTTTCCCTTTGAGCTAGGAAATGAACCTAATGATCAACTTCACATGGGTGTAAATTCAACTTTAGTTGAATCAGGTAGGAAAAGGCCATTGATACAAAAAATAGGAATGTAAAGCTCCACTGATAAATGACACTCATTGCTTTTGCTTTCTAGTATATGAAACCAGTGTACATGTTAAAAAAAACCCTTTTTTTTTATAAAGATGCCATCAATTTCTCAAAGGGCTTTAATGTAGGCTTATGAAAATGATGGCATCTCCAAATGTTGTAGATCGCTTTGCATTTTTAACCAGCTGGACCTGCTAGCTGTGGCCAGCCTTCTCACACTCTTTCTCTCCTTCTTTCCCTCCTTCCTTCGCTCCCTCTTTCTGTCCTTCCCTTTTCTTCTTTCCTTCTCTCCTTCCTTCCTTCTCTACCTCTTTCCTTCCCCCATTTCTTTTCCTGCCCCTTTCTCTCCTTCCTTCTCTACCTCTTTCATTCCTTCCCCCCTTTTCTTTTCCTGCCCCTTTCCTTCCTTCCTTCCTTCTCTACCTCTTTCCTTCGTTCACTGTTGCTTCCATTCTTCCTTCTCTCTTTCTTTCTCTCCCTCTTTCTCTCCTTCCTTCACTTCCTCTTTCCTTCCTTTTCTACCTCTTTCCTTCCTTCAATTTTTGCTTCCATCCTTCCTAATCTCTTTCCTTCTCTCCTTCTTTCCCTCCTTCACTTCCTTTTTTCTCCCTTCCTTCTCTACCTCTTTCCTTCCTTCCCCACTTTTTCTTTTCCTTCCTCTTTCTCTCGTTTCTTCTTTCTCTACCTCTTTCCTTCCTTCGCTCTTTGCTTCCATGCTTCTCTTTGTTTCTTTGTTTCTTTCTTTCTCCCCTCCTTCCTTCCCTCTTCCTTTCCTTTTCTCTGTATCGTCATTTAGCTTTTTGGGAGTTTTAAGTCCTTTCCACTTTGGGGGGGGGGGGGTGGTATGGGTGACGGTCACTCATTGGTCTGTTAGGGGTATTGTGTCCAAATTTCGTGTCAGTATGCCCAGTGTTTTTTGAGTTATGTTAATCCCACAAACGACCATTACATTTTTATTTCTATAGATGGAACATCTTAAAAAAGGAAGTCAAGGAGGTGAATGAAGCGCATCTAGCACAGTACAAGCAAGTTGCCTGGACAGCCCAATGTTCATTTTCTAGATAGTCTCATCCTTGTGGAGGCTCTCAAGTCTTTCTAGTTATTTGTATGCACTCTCTGCCATCTGGCAAGCTTCTTTTGATTGCTTTTGAGAGGGTTTTTGGTCCCTTGACACCCTGTTGAGCAGGTGTGCCGAAACCTTGCTCCGTGAAGCATGTAATCAAGATGTGTCGCTTTGCTGCCGACTACAGAGAGGAAGAAAAGAGTCTGGAAGAGGACTGGCAGTATTTTTAATTAACATCCATATACAGGAGCCAGGTTAAGACAGCAAGCTAATAGCAACAGTTAATTCATGAATAATAGAATTGCATATGAATGAAAAAGAATGGCAACACACTTATTTAAGCATATGCCTCTCTAGCTGTGTGACCTACTATCATGAAAAAGGCACATCTATTTCTACAAAGACCAAAACTTAGGGATCAAATCAATTCAAATTCTTCCTTGGTTTCATAGGCTCTGGTCTCATAAGACTGCGTTACTATGACTTCTTCTTTTATGCTTTTCATGATGCCCCCTTCCCCAATTTGATCAAAATGGTTACTGTCCTCTCTGTGACTGCTGGTAAGAGTACAGTCAGCCTTCCACATTCACTAAGGTTAGAGCTATAAAACCTCAAAAAAAAAACAAAACCCCAAGGAAAAAAATAGCTTTTCAAGTTTGTATGTGAGAGAACGCTTTTCTAGGAATTGAGATATTCCAGCATGAGTCTTTAGTCTGCTTTTGATGGACGCTGCCCTTAGTGTTACCATGAAGGATATAAAGATTCCAAGGGAGTACATTTTAGTCAAATCTGTGAAGAATCAAACTTGCAAAGGTCAAACCTGCAAATATGGAGGGTTGGCTGTACAACCTAAATCTTCCTCTTGCACAGTGCACTCAAAATCCATGTACTACTATAATAGACATTTTTATAGAACCCAGGTCTGCTGGGTTTATATTGCAGTATCCTGCCACAACCTTGTAAAATGAGTGTGGTAGTCATTATGAGATGAACATTTTAATAACATCTAGACCACACATAGTAAACCCAGGTCCCAGGGCCGGATGCAGCCCCTTGGGCTCTTTTTTCAGGCTCTCCTCTCTCTCACCATCCTATCCTTCCTTCCTTCTCTCTTTCCTTCCTTCCTCCTTCTCTTCCTTTTTTCCTTACCTCCCTCCCTCCATCCATCCTTCCTTCCCTTCCCCTTCCCTCTCCTTTTCTTTTTCCTTCTCTTTCCTCCCTTCTTTCCCTCCCTTCATTTCCTTCCACTCTTTCATCCTTCTTTCCTTATCTCTCCTTCCTCCTTCCCTTCCATCCTTCTCTTCCTCCCTCCTTCCCTTCTTTTCCTTCCTCTTTCCCTTCCACCCTTTTATTCTTCCTTCTCTCTTTCCCTCCTCCTTACCTCCCGTTACCCTCTCTTTCTCCTTCCATCCTTCCCTTCCACTCTTCCTTCCCTCTTTCCTCCTTCCTTCTCTTTTGTCTTTCTTTCCTTCTCTCTTTCCTCCCCTCCCTCTTTCTCCATCCTTCCATTTCCTTCCCCCCTTTTCGACCTTTCTTATTTTTTTCTTTCCTTCCACCCCTTCATCCTTCCTTTTTTCCTTCCCTTTTGCCTTTCCTTCCTCACCTCCCTCTTTCTCCCTCACTTCTTTCCCTTCCACCCTTTTGTCCTTCCATCAATTTCCCCTTCCTTCCACCCTTTCATCCTTCCTTCTTTCCTTCCCTTTTGTCTTTCCTTTCTTCTCTCTTTCCTCCCTCCCATCCCTCCCTCTTTCTCCCTCGCTCCATTCCCTTCCACCCTTTTGTCCTTCCATCATTTCCCCCTTCCTTCCACCCTTTCATCCTTCCTTCTTTCCTTCCCTTTTGTCTTTCCTTCCTTCTCTCTTTCCTTCCTCCTTACCTCCTTCTTTCTCCTCCCATCCTTCCCTTCCTCCCTTTTATCCCTCCTTTCTTCCTCCTTCCCTTCCTTCCTTCCATCACTGAGAAGCCAGTCGTCTTAGCAGAGAGTGCTAGTATGCAGCCCCCAAGTTACAAAGTTTGCCCACGCCTGATCTAGACTGTGCAATGAGGCAGCCTTATATTTCTTGCTATTAAATACAGCAGGATACATTAAAAGTGTAACTTCTAAAGCAGCTTTGCAACAATTTAAGTCTTATGAGGCGATCTGATGGATGCTCGTGTGACTGTACAGTGCTCTCTTTTCATACTATACCCAAACATGTTCTATATGTTGAAGAATTCCAAGAATCACTAGAGATATTCTAGGTATTACTGATTTTATAAAACTTAATCCTTATTTTACATTTTAAACTGCTTTTGAGTGTTTCTTCTTGCTACCAGTCTGCCTTATAAGAAAGAAAAGCATATGTTCCTTACATCATACAGAAGAGCTTTAGAATTATCTGAGCGCAAAAGATTCCCTCTTGCAGAACTGGGTGTACACAATGAATATTGACATTTACCTTCAAAAGAAGTTGATATTTTGTTATTCTCTGAACAGGTTTGATAAGGTAAGAGGAGATTGAGTTGGCTAGCCCATGCCGCTGTTGTATCTCCTGTATCAGAAACAAAACACATAGAGAAAAATGTTAGCCAACTTAGAATATTTGTTGCTCAAGTCTTAATCTTTATCTTTGAAGATATCTGCTCACTGGGAGATATCATACGTTTCAACGTGAGCCTATACTTTTTTACTGAAATGTCCCACTGAATTCAGCATATCTCACTGATGTACAGGTGCAGTTATGATGGGAACCACACTTTAGATTTCAGGTTGTTTCCCAACATTTTTCGTCACATTCACCCCTTATTTAGAATCATAGAGTTGGAAGAGACCTCATGGGTCATCCAGTCCAACCCCCTGCTAAGAAGCAGGAAAACTGCATTCAAAGCACCCCCGACAGATAGCCATCCAGCCTCTGTTTAAAAGCCTCCAAAGAAGGAGCCTCCACCACACTCTGGGGCAGAGAGTTCCACTGCTGAACAGCTCTCACAGTCAGGAAGTTCTTCCTAATTTCCTATACCATCTGACTTTAGGCTGTAAACACTTCAGGTATGGATGCCCCCATTCCTTTAGCTTGGCTTATATTCTTTTGTACAATAAATCTCCACATGCTATGCTAGATACAGCAAGCTACAAGCTCAGAGCACAGCGTCATTTCACAAAATTATTTTTAAAATCTGAACATTTTCCCTCACATCTTCAGAGTAGCTGATGCCATCCCAAAGGCAGATTTCTTCTTCTAATTAAGCCTAACAGAACGTACTTAAACTGGATGTTTATTATAAATCTTGTACAACACGATTCCTTCCGATGTCCTTTCTCCTTATCTAACACACCTTGACAGGGTGGAGCTAAGCAACTGCCTATCACTGTGCCAAGATCTAAAACTTTTCCTGTTTGTGACATCAGGCATGACATCACAATACCATGTTTTCCTTTGACTTCAACTACCTTTACACCAACATCAACTAAACCACTGCAACTACAGTAGATAGCCTTCGGCCTGAAAGTTTGTTGGATATTTTTGATGGGGTTGAAGAAGAATTTACTTTAACTTGAAAGTCAGGCTTCACATAACAAGATTTTTACCTTTTGGAATACCATGTTTTTGTTTTTATGGCTATTGATGCTCAAGTGTTAATTCAGTCTTACAAAAGGATCAAGTAATAAGAAATTACTTGATCCAAATAAATAAATAAATAAACTTCATTTATATTCCACTTTATTGGATACACACTTTTCTCACAATAATGCTTACAGGAGTTTATTTCCCTTTTTTGGGGTGGATTTCAAATCTCACTTCCTCTTGTTTCACTCCTGTTTAACTAGGAATTGGATTAAGTCAGATGTTTGTAACTCGCGAACTGCCTGTACACACTTTGCTCTTGAGCATACTTCCAAATGATCAAAATATTTAATCTAAGCATGGGAATTCTGTACTCACATCAAAGTAAGCACCAGCATGTTCCAGTATCAATTGGGTGGAGTCTGGCTTGTTCTTGCAGTAAGTCACGTACATTTGGAACTTGTCTGCCTGTAAAAACACACACACAAAAGTACTTCAAAAAATGTTACACCTTAAAAATGGTACCTTACTGAGGGATATCCTTATTCTAATTAGCTAGGTAGTGGGACAAACGTACAAACACCAAGAGAGAAAGAAAATAAAAAGGCAAAACAATAGTTTATTTATTTATCATATTTATACCCTGTCCTTTTCATCTAGCAAGGGACTTAGGGTGGCTCACATATATAGGCAACTGACTGTTTGATGCCATAAGAATATACATCAAGAAAATAAACACACACACACAGATATATATGCACACACAAACATTAAAAGCATAGCAAACATTAGAAACCACTTATTTAAAATTACGCAGTCCAATATCATAATCTGTGGCCATTCCAGGTTGTCATTGCAGTATTCTATGTTGTCTTATTGCACTGATAGATTACTAATGGAATGCCTGAAAGTCAGGAGAGAAGAGACTGATCTAATTTCACTAAGGGAATTGTATGTAACACTAACTTGAATTCGGCAACCTGGAATGCAAACATTCAGATGCTACCAATTTCAGTAGATAATAATAATAATAATAATAATAATAATAATAATAATAATAATAATACCAACTTTATTTATACCCTGCCTCCATCTCCCCCAAGTGGATTTGGGGCAGCTTACATGAGGCCACACCCATCAATACAGTAAATACAATATAACACAAAGCATAACAGCACCAGGATTAACACAAATCACAACAGCACCGGGATTGTGGCGCAGCTGGCTGAGTGTCAGCTGCATTAAGATCACTCTGACCAAAAGGTCATGAGTTCGAAGCCAGTCTGGGTTGGAGTGAGTTTCCAACCAATTGTGTAGCCTGTTGTCGACCTTTGCAACCAGAAAGGCAGTTGCATCCCTCAAGTAGGAAAATTAGGTACCATCTTAAAGTGTGGGGAGGCTAAATTAACTAATTTATGAGGCCATAAAGAAGACTCCAGCAAAGTATTCCAGCGGGAAAGCATGGGGGGAATGCGGAAGTACTTCCTCAGCGTTGCAGATGGACAATGAAAGCGACAGCTCCCCTGGCGGCCAGAAAAAGTTAAATAGCCTCTGAGTATGTCTGTATACGTTGTATGTCAAAATTGGCATTGAATGTTTGCCATATATGTGTACACTGTAATCCGCCCTGAGTCCCCTGCGGGGTGAGAAGGGCGGAATATAAAAGCTGTAAATAAATAACAGAAAAATCAGAAAATAAAATACATAAGATGAAAAACCAATATAAATATGTGACCCAGCAATATAAAACATTTAAACACAATGATCACACTGGGCAGGGCCAAATTCAAAGATAAAAATTTTAAAACACTGGGAGATAGGGCAATGTAAAATATCAGGGAGTGCATCCGGGGATGAGGTAGGATTTAATTGCACGATGAGACTTTGTCTGAGGGAATAGTTGGACAAAGTAGTTGGAACTTCCAATAATTATGTAGTTCTGTGATAATACATTCTAAGGATCATTCACAGGATCATCTAAGTATACTAGGGATCATTCACAAGGTTCCTAAATGTCATACTAATGAGAAGACATAGCAATTTCCTTGTTTATAACAGGACTGGTCAAAATGAGACCTCCACATGCTGATGGAGATAAACTCCCAGTACTTTCCAGCACTAGCTCTTCTGGGTATGGCTGCTGACAATTGCAGTACAACACCTGAAGGACAGTTCATTCACCTTTAGTGTTTAAGATAAAACTGAAACATAAGCCTCCTGATACAGTGTGTAAGCCACAAAGTTTTTTCTATAGCTCACTATTCAATCTAGGTTCTAACCTATACAGACATTATTTCTTTAAACGCATTTCCACCCTGTTTTTCAGAGAATAAGTGCCACAACTGTACAAACCTTCACAAATGACCACATGACACAGAAAAATATGCTCTTACCCAAGTTACAAAACAGTGACCAACATCTTCAGGTAGCTGTTCATATTTTTCTAGTTCTTTCAAGAATATACTATAAAACAGAAAGAAGTAACAATATCAAACAATTATTCACACACATACTCCTAGCCAGATTTCCACCTGTAGATTTTTTTTCATTTCTAATGTGATCAGAATTAATATCCACTACTATCAGCTCTTAAAGGGGAAAAACATTTCCAGGAATAGAATAGGACAACAGCATGGTATGGGTGTTTGGTTTCACCACAATGAGGTTGGAAGAGATACGCCTTCCCAGTCCACCTGCCCTGTTGCCATTAAAAGTCCTGTCCTGTACCCCATGCCCCAAATTAACAAAAATTAAATACTAACTGCAACAAAGAAAGCTGAAATGAGGTTCAACATCATCCAATTTAAGTTAAAGGATAAATCATATAGCCGTAAGACAACTCAAGAAAAGGATTTTTCTCTTAATACTTATAGTTCTGTTCACCTATTCAGTAAAATATTTCATTTAAATGCTTAACTCAGACCTGCTAAGTGTGTTAACATTGGGATTTATCCAGTAGTGGTTTTGAAACTATTTCCAACTAAATGGGAGGCAAGCCACATGATTTCTGCCACTGTTTAATATTCCCTACTGTGCCTTCTTTGCATCAATTATTCCATATTGTTCTGTAGTATTTTTTTTTTCTAGCATTTTTTTCTAGTATTTTTTTTGGCAAAAAATTAGGTGCCTCAATTTGCCCAAGTGGTTACAGCTCACTGCATAGACGTGCTATGTAGGAAAACTATCGTTAACAATTACTCAAAACCCTCCTTACAGCTATCATCTTGAAGATTAAAATCAAGTTTTCACACAATTAGTTTGCAATAATATAAATGTGTTACTGTTGTTATGTGCTGTCAAGTCAATTCCCATTTATGGTGATCCAAACCTAGACTTTTCCTGGGTAAATTTACTCAGAAAAGGTTTGCTATTGCTATCCTTTTAACGTGAAAGAGCGTGACATGTGCAAGTCACCCAGTGGATGTATATGGCTAAACAGACATTCAAATCCTGTATAGTAGACTTGTGCAATTCGGCATGCCATTTTGGGGTCTGTTTTCGGTTAACTCCTCATTCTGTTTACCGGGAGGAGTACTGCCTTTTTCATTCGGCAAAGATTCGGCCCATTGGCTATAATGGGAAAATTTAAAACAGTGGTTCTCAACCTGTGGATCACAGGTGTTTTGGACTACAACTCCCAGAAATCCCAGCCAGTTTACCAACTGTTAGGATTTCTGGAAGCTGAAGGCCAAAACATCTGGAGACCCACAGGTTGAGAACCACTGCTTTAAAGGCTCAATCCTCAGCCACTTTAAGGCCTACCTGCATGAAACGTACCTCTGTTTTAGACCCCATTTACAACTGCAGGTCTGCCAAGTTTCAGAATAATTCACCAATCTACTGATTTTTTAGAATTATTTTAAGTTTTCACCATAACATTTTTTAAAGTAAGACAAAGGGTTCTCGGAAGTGTAGTTGCCAGTTGTGTCCATTCTCAGCTATTCAGAGCATGGACACAGCCAGGTCTTTTATTGACTGAGAGACAGAGAGAGAAAAAAAACTTCAACTCTCATCATGCTCCGAGAGGAACTCAGAGACTTTTCAATGCCTGCCCCATGCAAGTGCTGCTGGGAAAGTTCGCAGCAGGGCTCTCTCTGCAGGAGGAGCCTAGAAAACTTTTCCACTGCTGAGGAGGGAGAAAAGACGCTACAGTTAATCCTATCTTCTCCAGGAGTCCCCAAGGCAGACCCCTGCCTCAGGTATATCGCAGACTTAACTCCATCCTCTCCAGTAGCCGATAAATCCAACTATCTTTATCCATTTTGGCCGGCTTTCTGGTTCCCTCCTCCCCATTCTGTTTTTGGGGGATTACACGAAAAGAACCACTAAATATTACAAATCACTTTGGGTCAAACTAATCTGGGCCGAGCCTACTGTACAGTCCAGCCTTCAAACCCCAAGCAACAGCTTTACACTACCCTTTTCTGGTTCTTCCATGCCTGTCTGCTGTATGACATCAAGAGATAAACCTATCTGAGGATGGAAGAGAATCTGAGAAAGCAGCTTGAGAATGATCCTTCCATTGAGGGTTTTCAGACTCAAAAAGCATCTTTAACTTTTCCCTTAATTATTAGAATATTCTTTTCATACTTAGTTTACATGGTGTTTTACTCTGCTAAAATTACATTATGTATCAGTTTACAGGTATCAGAATGTAGTCAACCATTCTTCATTAGCATTATCTTCATGGTTGATACCATTACTCACTTATTATGGAACTCGTAGATCTCCTGCATGTTTCCAAAGATGATATGCTCCTTGTTGACAATGCCAGGAGGGATTTCTTCAACACCGCTTGTCATTTCCCACAAGTATGTCTGGTCAAAAGGACAAGACAAAAGGATGAGCTGTGAATTTACTTAGGAATCCCCCAAAAGACCACTTTAGGTTTTAAAAAAATAAATCTGATAAGCTTATTCTGATCTTGTACATACAAAGTCTCAACAACAGATTAAGTAGGGTAAAATATACACTTAAATCCCAACATCTAGAGAACATAACTTCTCTGTGGTTTTAACAATGATCTGTCCAAAAGGAATGAACAGGTTCTCGAATGTGCAAAATGCACAATGGAAGAATTAACAGCAGATCATCCCTTTTGACAAACTCAAAGCCTAAACAAAGCCATAGTCAGTTTACAGTTCTCCAAAACGAGGCCTTGTCTGGTTAACATGGGAATTTTACGACAGCAAAACAAGGTGCAAATTAATTTATCACTGTGGCAGTTGCTTAACCAACAGATCTGCCCAAGGTATGATACACCACCAATTGGCTACCCACTGTAAAGCGTAACATTTGATAACACAAAAATTATACAACTGAGCCCTCCATCCCAACATGTATCCACATCAATTGGTTCTTGGACAAACACTCACATCCATACACTCCCGGAGATCTCTTACGTAAGCCTTTTCTGTCTGAATGAGCTCGGCCATAATGAACCTTTGAAACAAAGAGAGACAAGGTCACCCAATGAGTTTTCATAGCTGAGCAAGGATTTGAATCTTTGTCCCCAGAGATCTAGTCCAAAGCTCAAGTCACTACACCACATTGGCCCTCCAGGGAAGTCCAATACCATCCATAATTTCTAGAGAAGTGAAAAATTGGAATGATTATGAAGTAAGGAGATCTAGAGTGCAAGCAAATGATCTAACTCCAATGTGCTCTGGCATCAATATGATGACATATTTTATTAAAGAGATTTATAACTAGCCTCTATATTTTAATCAAATGAATATTAGCACACATCTTGCAAATACTATTTTCTCTCCTCTTGCTTTTTTCATGATGTTTTAGTGGGGTGGGTATCAGCTGTAATGATTTACCATACTAATCACTGGCCTGGCCTGCTTGGATGACTGATTTTATCGACTTGTTTTACAGTATAAAGCAAATACTGTTTTGCATTGCATTTTTATAGTATGTGTGTGTACATGCATGTGTGCATATATCACGTATTTTTACATGGTGAATACAGGGGGAAAACAATGAAGATCCAAAACAAAAATTATGTAATAATAAACATCTACACATTTCTTCCCTACTGTTTTGTTTCCGATTTGTTGTTATATTGTGCCTTCAAGCTTACTCCAATTTATGGTGAACATATGTATCATGGGATCTCCTTAACAAGATCAGTGAAGGTTTGCCATCACCTTCCTCTGAAACTGAAAAAGTGTGCCTTGTCAAAGATTATCCAGTGGGTTTCCATGGCTGACTAGGGGATTTGAACCCAGATTTCCTGGAGTCCTTGTGCAACACTCCAACCAGTATACTATGCTGAATGTTTTGTTCATAATCCATAGACATATTTAAAGTTATCTTTGGAAGTTAGCAGATATGTCAGTTTCAAAAAGGACTGAACAGAGAATAACTTGCCAAAAAAGTAAAGGTAAATGTTTTCCCTCACATTAAGTCTAGTCATGTTCGACTGAGGGGTGGTGCTCATCTCAATTTCTAAGCTGAAGAGCCGGCGTTGTCAGTAGACATCTCCTAGGTCATGTGGCCGGCATGACTGTATGGAGCTCTGTTACTTTCCTGCCAAGGCGGTGCCCATTGATTTACTCATATTTGCATGTTTTTGAACTGCTACATTGGCAGAAGTTGGGTCTACAAGCAGGAGCTCCCCATGCTCCCCGGATTCAAACTACACAAAACTTTTGGTCAGAAAGTTCAGCATGACAGTCTGTTCATTGATGGATCTATGGACCGTAATAAATAATGTTTTGTTACATAACTTAAAATCATAGAATCAAAATCCTTAAGTTGGAAGAGACCTTTTGGGCCATCCAGTCCAACCCCCTGCCAAGAAGAAGAAAAGTACCCCCGACAGATGGCCATCCAGCTTCTGCTTAAAATTAATAAATAATACAATATAAAAACATTCCTGCAGAAAAAATAAATACATTTATTATGTAAATTGAGACGGTTTCAACATGGAATGTCTACACCCACATTAAAAACAAAAACATGTGGATTAGGAAAAGCAATGTAGCAAAGACAAAATTTCTGTCATTTTGATTATTGTTTGCCGCTTTGAGTCCCACCCATGGGAGAAAGGTGGTATAAAAATAAATAATAACAACCCCTTTAAGACAGATTATTCCTTCTTGTTTTGCCTTTTTATGGTGTAATAGACTAACTGGACTATTTCTTTGAATACAGATCCATATAAATTTTCAGTGCTAAAGGGATTTCATAGACTTTCTTAGGCAAGGAATATTCAAGAGATGGTTTTGCCAGTTACTTTTCTTACAGCTCACAGCACCTGTTATTAATTGATGATCTCCCATTAAGGACTAACCAGGGCTGCCTCTTCCTAGATTCCAAGATCAAACTGATTCTGCTAGGTTTAAGGTATCTACCTATACAATATGTCAACCATGAAATGAAAACTTACAAACACATATCCACAGAACACTTAAAAAGACAACACAAAAAGCAAGAAGAATGTGTTCAGAACAGGGTATTTTTAGTGTTTGTGGATGTAAATTTTTGTTACTGGACACATCTTTTTCCATTGTGTGTGTGCTTTTAAATTCTTGGCTTTTCTTTTCTTATTGGTCATTAACTTTCTGTTTGCTAGATATGGACTGTTTGTGAAAACAGTATTAAAATGCACTATTTATACAGGCGTAGGCTTAAGCTGTGTGTATATGAGAGTCAACGTTTGGAGAAAGAGAGAGAGAGCAAGCTTGCCTTTTTGACATCTAGGGCCATTTTTAAGAACTGGAAAAATACTGATGAAAAGCAAATACCACACATGAAGACAAACCATGCATAAAGCGGTATATGGGGAGAGAAACAGCCTTACTCTTTCCTGCGGGCAGACTTCCTTTTTTCTTCATTGAGCTCATGAGCAGCATCTCGCAGTTTCACCTCTGACCCAGGAACGCTGGCTGGGATTATATCTAGCTGCAGGCTTTTACTCTGAATTAAGAAAAGGAGGGAGAGGGTGGGGAGAGACAACGGAATCAGTGAAGAGAAGGTAAAGAGGGGGGAAAGACAGCTGTCTAGTAAGGAGCTTAAGCAGCCATGTTCAGCCAGCCTTCGTTTCTACCAGCGAAAGACACTGGGAGGGGGAATCCCACAGCACTCACCGATTTATTGGAATCCGAAGAGATCCCGAGGGCTTTCTCTAAAGATGTCCTATATTTTTCCATGCGCAGAGAGAAGTCCCTGTATCTCTTGTCCACTGCTGTGACACATTTTTTAATCTCTGCTGCGTGGGCATGGCCCTTTTCACAAAAGCCATCCGCTAGCTGGATCAACAGCTTCACCCGCTCTTTGGTTTGCTGTTGGGAACACAAAAGAGAGGATGGTAGCAAGAAGGACAGACCTTCACACTCACTGTAAACTAACAAAAGTCCTTTCGGGTTGTTTTTCAGAGTTTACGGTTCTTCTCATTGGGTGCTTGCAGCTTTTTATTGTTCAGGAACAGACAGTAAAAAGCTGTGAGCACCCAATGGATCAACAGCTTTGCCAATGCCTACTCTTTGGTTTGCTGTGGGGGACACAGAAACAATCCAGATATATTACAAGAAATTATATTCTCAGTTTGAGAAAGGAGGTTTGGAATGTCTCCTCTTCCAGCTCTGGGGATTCTGCCAGGAAAGAATATAAAGAGCAGATTATAGCTACGAAATCCTTCTCCTTCAAAACCACTTTCTGCCAGACTGCTAAGAAACTTCTCAAATAAGAGACAATGAACTTCTGGCCTTCAAGGTAGCAGAAGGAAGCTAGTTCAGATACCAATAAGCCCACAGTGTGGCAGCAGTGAGTTCCTCAGATCCTAGCACCTCTATACCCCTCTTTGGCTATCTAGAGTTCTGCATAATGCTCAACTAAAGTCTGATCTCCTGCTGATCACACACAGATGTTTCTGAATCACTTATTTATTTTATCACCATTCTATGTAGACTATGTTTCAAGAAATAAGTGGAAAATGACTACAATTTTGCAGTTCTGATGGATTTGAAAAGAACTTAAAACCTGGCTCTTCTGCTGCGCCTTTGGCGAGTAGGTGCACAACATGACCTTACTGCACCCCTAAACGCTTTTGCCACTGGAGTACACGCCCTCCAAATGGGAAGTATAGCTTCACAACTATGCTCGTTTTTATGAGTTCCCTGCAAATAAACTGCTCCTATTTTTTATCTCATTAGATTTTAATCGTTTTATCTTGTACATGTGGCCCGCCCATTGTTATTGTGATTGTGTTTATTGGAATGTTATTTTATGACTATGTTATACTTTCCCCCCTATGTAATTTTGATGATGTTGTTTGTTGTTTATGCTTTGCTTTTATTTTGCTGTAATATGCTGTCCGGGCTTGGCCCCATGTAAGCCGCTCCGAGTCCCCATTGGGGAGATGGTGGCAGGGTATAAATAAAGATTATTATTATTATTATTATTATTATTATTATTATTTGATTATTCACAGATTTGATTAAAATTGTTCTCTCCAGGCATCTCCAGGACCTCCAATGCAATCTATGGTCAGCTTCCAGCAGTTGACTACAGAGTCATGCTGGAAGAGGTATAAAATTTCTCTCACATAAATTAGTATAAATAAATTCTCAGGGGTGGGGGCACTGTGCACTTAATTCCAACAAATGAGGGCTGACTGTAGTGGAAAACTGCCTTGCTTTTTAGACAAAGTGCTATTAAAATAGTATCATATATCTGTAGATAACAATTACACATAACTGATTCAAATATAGCTGTATGGCACTTTAAGCTAGTCACCATAGAAACAGAAATGACAGCTGCCTATGATGAAGTGTCCATGTGTGCAGTATTCATACACAGGTTCTTCCATCCAACCATATATGATGGAGAGAGGAAACAGGGAAATCAGAGTGATTTTCACATGTGATCTCATCTCATAACTACTGGTGATGTGCTCTCTCCCATTTACTAAATAGTAGAGAGAGCTTCTAAGCACCCCAAAACATCAGAAGTGGCAAAAATTATTTCCTTGTTGAGTAAAGTTTCCTGATTAGACTCCAGATTTCCTCAAGCAACCAGTGCTCAGGTTCTTTCAAGAGTGAAGGGTACTCTCATGTTTCCTTCATGAAGACATGTTCTTATAGCCCTAATATGGATCTGTTTTTGGATACCAGAACTAGATTGAACATGGCAACCTGGACTCTGCAGGCACAAAAACCTTGGAGTATACTACTGATGGAGTCTTTGTTTTCTTTTGACTATTACATATTTATTATTATTTTATCAGATGCGGTTTTATGTGTGTTTGTTGTTTTTAGACTTATGCTGTCGTTTTATATGTATTATTTGTTTTATTTTATATGCAGCAATTCAAAATGTTTTTGTCAGCCACCCAAAAAAAACAAACAAACAATAAATAAAGTCGAAGGCTTTCATGGCCGGAATCACTGGGTTGTTGTAGGTTTTTTCGGGCTATATGGCCATGGTCTAGAGGCATTCTCTCCTGATGTTTCACCTGGATCTATGGCAAGCATCCTCAGAGGAAGCCCGAAAAAACCTACAACAACCCAAACAAACACATTATTATTACATAGCTGTTAAAAATTGGCGGTAAATAAGAAATCATGACCACCACTGTGTTCCCCTTTGCTTTCTTTTTAACTAGAGGTACTAGAACAAGCAAGTCAATGCGTATTTTGGTTTTGCAGTATGACATGTCATTCAACGACATGCCAAGTAAATATAAAGCTTAAATCTGATATATGCCTGTTCTTCATCTGGACCAAAATCATCCCAAATGAAACAAACAACAAGCCATGGCCTGACTCCAATACGGGCTTGATAGAGGCAGCCAGAGATAGTTTTAAAACAGCAGCAAGAATACATTTATTAAAACAATAAAATGCTATATTAACCTCTAATATTCTATCCTTTTAGGTCCATAAAAGTGCAGTTCTTCCTTTTGATTGTCTATTCTGTGTCTCTTCCATCCAACTGTCACTGTGAAATCCAGTTTTCTCTCTCAAGTCCCAAACCCTGCCTCTAACACCTTCAAAACCCTTTCTGATGAAGAGGCACACTTCTACTATTTTATATCATGCTCACACAGAGATCACACTTCACAGCCTACCTGAGCTGCCTTCTAGCCAAATCTGCCCAAGTTATCACAAAAAACTTTTTTTTTGTTTTCTCCAACTGTGTTTTGTTTTCTCTCAATCTTGTTTCTGTATTTTAGGCATTCTGCTTTCTTTGGTTTTATTTCTGTCGATCTGCTAGTTTTTTAAAATTCCACATTTGATTCCTATTTCAACAGTGCATGGATTGCTAATGGCATGCTCGATTTTGTAACCAAATGCAGACAGACTTCTCAGTACTTTATGCAGGTCATTTGTATAATTGTTGCCTGCTTCTTGTATGGCTGCTCTTGGGCCAATCTGAAAGCCACACCATTGTTTCTGAAGACAGTCAATACTTATATCAATGAGGAAAAAAACAGATGCAACATATAGAGAACCTAAAGTTCAGCATATAAAATGTAATTCAATTACTTTTGCTGTAATCTGGAATTCTTCGTGCTCCTTCAATAGCTCTTGAGTATGCTGGATACTGGAGCCGGTGGATGTGTGCGTAGATAAATAAAACTCTCCATTGTCATGGATCCACTCAAGAGCCTAAGGAAGCAATCCACAAGAAAGGATTAAATACAATACTCTAGCAAAGCAATAGGGAGATTAAGCTATTCAAATTTCTGAGTATTTCAGTGAAGACAACTCAAGTATTTCGCAGGTAGATATTCATATTCAAAAGTGTCTCTGCTTTTGATGCCACATTTCTCAAGCATCAAAGGTTGATCTCAGATGAATTCACTCCTCTATAACTTCTATGAAATTGAATAGTTCATGCTCTTGTTACATCTCAAATACATTACTAAAATGTGGGGTTGCCTTTGAAGACTGTTTGGAAACTTCAGTAGTCCAACGGGTAGCAGCCAGGTCAGCTCCATTGGCTGCCAGTCTACTGAGCAGAATTCAAAGTGTTGGCTTTGGCCTATAAATCCCTAAATGGTTCTGATCCAGCTTACCTGTCTGCACTCATCTCCTTTTATGAGCCAGCTAGAACACTAAGATCTGCTAGGGAGGTCCTGCTCTCAGTTCCGCCGCCTTCACAATTACAATTGGTGGGAATGAGAGACAGGGCCTTCTTGGTGGTGGCCTCTCAGCTGTGGAACTCTTTCCCCAGTGAGATTAGATTGCCCCCTCCCTCTTAGTGTTTAGGAAACAACTTAAGACTTGGTTATTCAAGCAGGCATCTGAAAATATGGAAGTAGTTAAAGACACTCCAGGATTGGAGCAAGGTCTAAAGATTTGTATCTTGGGTCTGTGATTGTTGTTATAGTTTTAATGGTTTTAATCTATTGTCATATGTTGTCAATTTGATATGTGATTTTTTTATACATGTCAGGCACTGAATTTTGCCATTAATTATATTGCGAATCACTCTGAGTCCCCCCAGCGGTGAGAAAAGCGGCATATGAATGCAATTAGTAAATAAACAAGTAAATAAATCTACATCTGAGTAAACATTTTAGAGATTGTAGTGCTACTTATTGCTGACACGGTGCATGACTCAAGATGGATAAAGCAAGTATATAATATATAAAATACTCAATCCAGCTCTAATTTTAAAAAAGATGGGAAAGAAAACATTTTTGAGAACTACATAGAAAGATTTTAGGTCTTAGAAGGCTTTCTATGGTGTTACTGAAGTTGTATACCAGCCACTGGAGATTATGCACTAAATTGGGCTTCAAAATAATAATTTTTGACAGCTGCAATGTTCAAAAACATGATTTTACAAAAACGAAACAGCAGGAGTGCACTGAGAATAGATCAGCAGCTTTTGGACTGATCTCTCTCAGCAGCTCAATGAATTATGGCTTATTATCCAAAGAATCAGACAAATGAGGAAATATAAAAAAGATCTGACCTCATTTAAAGTAAGTGGGGGTATAAAAATATTCTCCCTTTTCAACTGTTATTGCTTGGAAAGGACTGTTTTATTTACCTCAGATGCTCTCTTTTTCCAATTTGCATATTTAACTATTTTGGTCTTCTACTGTTTTCCCGAATGTCCAGAGCAAATGGAATGAGCTATTAAAGCTATCTTAAAGCTATCATATTCATCCATTCAATGTATATCCTTGTCTTTCTTGTATCAAGGGACCCAAGGCAGATAACAAAATTAAGGTTAAATGTTTATCTAAAATACAATGTACAAATGTTAAACTGCCATTAAGCATCAGTTCTGTTAAAAACAGTTTTAAAAATACATTGAAGAACATAACAAACAATTGAATGCCTGCTTAAATAAAAAGGTTGTTACCTGCCAGTGAAAAGAGTGTGTGGAGGGGGTTAACTGGACATGCCATGCAGAGGAATTCCCCATTTTAGGGCCCCTTCTACACTGCCATATAAAATCCAGATTATCTGCTTTGAACTGGATTATATGGCAGTGTAGACTCATATAATCCAGTTCAAAGCAGATAATATAGATTATCTGATTTGTTAATCTAGATTACATAGCAGTGTAGAAGGGGCCTAGGCTCCATTCTTTGTCCTCGACTATCTCACCACTATCTTTTTTTTTCTTCAGAAAAGCCAATATATATCCATTGACAATTATATAACATTGTTATTTCACTATGTATTTGAACAACATGAGCTTCCAAACAAGGGACCCTCTTGTCATCCCTAGCAATCTTCAGGTATCTTTACAAACATACCACAAAGGAGTACCAAGATGATGTATTAAAGTTCCAGCTTTGGTTCTAGAAGATCCTAGTCAACATACTGATACATTCTCATACAGACAATGCTTTCCCTACCTAGCTACGCAATCAGCATGGCATCTTGTAATTAAGTCTAGTGACCTCACTTGCCTCTCTATTTCTCCTTGCCTTTCTCTTTTCTCTGCCTATTGTATCTGCCTCATTGTTGCCTCATAGAACCCTGCAGTTTGGTTGGCTGCTTCATTAAGACACAGAAGACTAGTGTGATTGGCAGTCACTTCAGCCAACCTTGAGAGCAGTCCCCAGATGGACATATAGTTCATCCATCAGAGTTCTGGAACTCTAGGATTCTATGGGAGTTCCACAGAAGAATGGTTGAGAAAGATTTTTGAAAGCCGTATATATAATCATTTTTATGTAAGGATTCCTTAAGACCTGGAATTCATTTCAATGGTCTGTCCAGGATATTAAAAAAACTGAAATAAGCTGGTTTAGTGGTTGGACCAAGCCCTGTTCTACTCATGGTCACCAGGTCCTTCTCACACACTGTCCTTCTTTCATCCTCCTTCCTAATATATACATGTTTGCGAAAATGTTCTGCTACCACAAATGGAGCACAATATATGCTATCATAGCCTAGCTCAGTCCCCATTCTAGGCTTGACATCCCATGTATTGTAAGACTTCACAGCTCACATTATTAGTGCAGTCCTTAATCAACAACAATTGCCATAATTGTCAGAAATCTTTTATGCTTTCCATTTCTTCTTTCTACTGAACCCTTAAATATGTAGTTCAACCCTTCAGTGTCTAATAATTGTATTAATGTATTGCCGAAGGCTTTCATGACCGGAATCACTGGGTTGTTGTAGGTTTTTTCAGGCTATATGGCCATGGTCTAGAGGCATTCTCTCCTGATGTTTCTCCTGTATCTATGGCAAGCATCCTCAGATGTAGTGAGGACCTCACTACCTCTGAGGATGCTTGCCATAGATGCAGGTAAAACGTCAGGAGAGAATGCCTCTAGACCATGGCCATATAGCCCGAAAAAACCTACAACAACCTAATTGTATTAATCATGCTGGGATTTTTTTAAAAAAATAATCCACATAGCTCTGAGGCCAAGAACCCCCAGTCATGCATTATTTATTATTTATTTATTTACGACTTTTATATGCCGCTCTTCTCACCCCGAAGGGGACTCAGAGCGGCTTACAAGATATATATACATACAATATATTATATTATTAGCATAGTATAATATCAGTATTATATATTACTATATTGTACTATACCATTATATTGTAATATTATTAGTAATATTACATGTAATATAAAATATATAATTATAATATTGTATTATTATTAATATTCTATTATACTACATTATAATATTATACATATTATATGTATATACAATATATTACATTGTATTCTATTATATTATTAGCATAGCACAGGAGACAAGATGGAACTTTCCAGGGCCGTAGCCAGAAAAAAAAATTCGGGAGGGGTTGAAATTTTCGGGGGGGGAGGGGGAGTTTGAAAATTTCGCGGGGGGGTTGAAACCTGCCTCCTAGCTCACGCTGAAGCAAAGAGCACAGCAGGGGGCAGAGCAGCCTTCAATAGCCTGCAGCTCCGCCCTTGTCAACCACCTCCACCAAGTCTGGCCTCCTTAACGAGAGCATTCAACATCCCCCACCCCAACTTGGTTGCTTCACTACTGTTCTGTGGCGCGCTGGGCTTGTAAATAATTGTCTTTAGAAGAGGATGTGCAACCTTTGCCCAGCGGGAAGCCAGGGGGCCTAAGGAGAAGTTCTCAGAAGTTTCCACCACAAACAGTCTTTAGATGGATTGAGAAGTACAATAAAGTCTTTTATTAATGAACAATCAAACAGAAACTTCTCTTGTCTTCAGTAAAGTTAAGCAAATGATTCCAAGCTTTTAGGCAACTGGTGAATTCCTAATCTTGCCCACAAAGAACAGGCAACTGTCTTCAATAACTTCTTCTTTAAGGGAAAATCCCCTTTTTAACTTCTCCCAGACTGACTATAATCTAACCCTTACTGATGTGGACTCCGCTACTGGGTCGAACTGCATCTCGAACGCCGAGTGGACCTACCAGCAAGGCAGTAGATGTTCTCCAGCTGGAGTTCTTTGGTCTTTAGGGCTGTTTTCCTGGAAATTCTTTGGAGACTCTTAAGACCTTTCTCCCCCAGAAGGTATTAAGGGTTGAAGCTTTTGTACAGGGGAAGCTTGCACACATCCTATACATAAGCTTACCTTTCTGAGACTAACTAAAAATGGCTCCCTTCCCTTCCCAATTGCCCTGAGCAAGAGGCGGGACCAAAACTTAACAATGATGGACAGGTGACTTGCCCTATGACTGCAACCAAAGAAGCCACCTACCTGCAGAGTCCCTGAAACCTAGGACTGCAAGCAAACATTTAATACAAAGCAAATAAAGTTAGAGCTCCTGGTACAGCTGTACCAGAACAACTACATCGGCTATTACTGCAAGTAATGACAGTGTGAATAAATTGCCAATATTTGCTTGAGATAGTGCTTGGATTTCTGGAGGGACTCTTAATTTTTTGCATCTCATAGACTTAGCATGGGGATTTGGTTAACCAGTTAAAATTCATGAGTAAACCAGGTTTTTAAAAAAATCTGAAACATTTCGGGGGGGGGGGTGTTGAACCCCTAACCCCCCCCTCGCTACAGGCCTGGAACTGTCCCCTGCCCCCCTCTTCACTCTCCCCAGAGCGTCAGTTGGTGCTGGGGGGAGGGGTCTCCAACTGATGACATAATGCAGTGGTTCCCAACCTTTGGGCTCTCCACTGCAAAAGGTTAGAATTAACATATAAAGGTCAATATACAGAGAGAAGGTCTAGTATACATAAGTCATTATGAAGTGGTATCCAACCTTTGGGCCTCCAGGTGTTTTGGACTTCAGCTCTCACAGTTCCTAACAGCTAGTAAGCTGGCTGGGATTTCTGGGAATTGAAGTCTAAAACACTTTGAGGCCCAAAAGTCAGGAACCACTGCAAATGATTGGAAACTCTGCCGATGTTAATGAAGGACAACTCCCATCACCACAGGTCATGCCTGCAGGGGTTGAAAGGAACTGGAGCATCACAAGTTCCCCAGTCCTGGCCTACAATGCTTTCACAGATATATGGAAGTGATGGAGATTCAATAATGTTGTATTTCTGCTGTTTATTTGTTTTCATAGGACACTTGCCTGCATCTCACATGACTTATAATTCTCAAAATAGCACAGAAGAGCCGGAAAGAGGGGTCCTGAAAAGCTGACCTGGATATATGAAACTCAGGCATGTTTTTTCCTCATCTTCATCCTATTGAACTACTCATACTCAGCCAATTTCATTTTAAAAGCAAGTTGTTTCAACTGGTGAATGTATTAATAAGTTCAGTATTTCACACAGCGTGATCTTGCAAGTAACATTATTCGGACTGAAACTCCTTGGGGCATCAAAGGAATAGAAAGGTTAAATACACAGAGATGAACTGAGTGTTATCGTAATAGAGAAGAGCAACAAAGGTTTTCTCTTTTTTTAAAAAAGCACAGCTTATAAGAATAAAAAAGCTGTAATGTTATTTGCTTCTTGGTTGCCTGTTGGGAAAAGACTTGTAAGTAGATATGTGTATTTCATTCCAAAATATATGAGAAGGAAGACTGTTTAAAATACAGACTCTGACCTGCTTGGCACTTCGTTCAAAGACCACATACTGCTGACATTGGTCAAGGCGTCTTTTCCTCATTGTCCAGTAGTGCAACACACGGTTTTCCCTCTGGAAGAGTTCGTTGAGGATATCTGCCATAAAGATCATAAAGAGAACAAATCAGCTAACTTGGCTGAGATAAGGGCAAAACTTCTCTTGCATTCTAAAATGTAGAAACACTATCCCTGTCTGTCATTTCTCGCCTGGTCCAAATCTGGAGGGTGATTTCCAGAAAAGCGTGGAGGCAATCTACATGATCAAAACAAATGATAGTGTTCCAAAAAACCTCAATGCATTGGGAAGGCTCTCCACTGGAAAAAGTTAGAATTAACATATAAAGATCAACATACAGAGAGATGGTCTAGTATACTCCTTACTCACACATTTAATCTACAGTACCGTATACACTCGAGTGTAAGCTAACCCAAATATAAGGTGAGGCACCTAATTTTACCATGCAAAACTGGGAAAACGTATTGACTCGAGTATAAGCCAAGGGTGGGAAATGCAGCAGCTACTGGAAAATTTCAATAATAATAATAACCAATAAAATTACATTAATGGAGGCATCAGTAGGTTAAAAGTTTTTGAATATTTACATCAAACTGTAATTTAAGATAAGACTGTCCAACTCTAATTAAACCATTATTCTAACGTTCAATGTAAATGTACTTATGTATCCTTCCAATATTAATAAAGAGAGTAAAATAATAAATGCAATACCAATAATAATAGAATAAAATAATGGGAATGTAATAATAACAGTAATAATAGAGTTAAATAATAAATGTAAAAATAACAATAACAGAGAAAAAGAATAAATGTAATAATAATAAAGTAAAGTAAATGTAATAATAATAATAGAGTAAAATAAAATAAATGTAATAATAATAAATAGAGTAAAATAATAAAGGCAATAAAAATCCTAACAGAGTAAAATAATAAATAGCCTTGACTCGAGTGTAAGCCAAGAGGGGATTTTTCAGCCTTAAAAAAGGCTGACAAACTAGGCTTGTACTCGAGTATATACAGTATTTGATTCTTAAAACATCTGAATAAGGATTATCAAATCCACTTCTCTGACAGACTATTCAGATAAATTAACATAGGAAATGGAGAGAATGATCAGCAACAGTTACGAACAAGTAGCAATGACAGATGACATGTACACATTCCACCAAATCTTTCATATTATTCTAGCCCAGTGGTTCCCAACCTTTGGTCCTCCAGGTGTTTTGGACTTTAACTCCCAAGATTCCTAACAGCTGGTAAGCTGGCTTGGTTTTTTGGGAGTTGAAGTCCAAAACACCCAGAGGACCAAAGGTTGGGAAGCACTGTTCTAGCCATACAAATTCTGAATAACATGCGTTAAATATTTAAATGGTTCGTACCCAAAACAATGCATGGCAGTCAATTTGTTCCTGCACATTGCTTTCTAAATATGAACTATAACCATTCTGGGCTGTCACAGTTTATGACTAATTTATGTTAATTTATAGCTATATTAAAGCAGAGAGCAGTGTGGTGGATTGCGACCTAGGAGGATGGTTCACATTCCCATTCAACTATGAAAACCCACAAGGTGTCAGTGGGCAAGTCACACCTTCTCAATCTCAGAGGAAGACAAAGGTAAACTCTTTTGAGACAAATCTTGTCAAGAAACCCCCATGATATGTTCGCCTTAGTGTTACCATAAATTAGGAATAACCTGAAGGCATGCAAGATGTTATGCTGTTTTTAGTTTTTAATAATAATAATAATAATAATAATAATAATAATAATAATAATAATATTTTATTTATATCCTGCCCCCTTTTCCCAGGGGACTTGGAGCACCTTACAACATAAATAGTACAATAAGTGCAATAATATAAAATGGCATAAACAATTAATAACACATCCAAACAATATAAGACAATATATAAAATATTTCAAAAATATTGTATGTATATTTTTTTAAATAACAGTTTTTCAAAAATCTGTGTAAATTGTGCCAATGTATTACCAGAATAAACATAATTAGAATGCACTTGCATTTGTGATTTAATAAAATATCTAGTCTTGAAATATTTCTTAGCACTACTATTGTCTCCCAACAATGCCATAGTTTGCACGCAGTGCAAGTAACACCCCCCCCCACTGCACTTTGAATGGCTTCCAGTGTCCAAACAACATTCACAGATGGTATGTAAGAGATTTTCAACTTTTCTTCATGTCCTTCTTGTATTATACACAAAGAAGAAACCCAAAAATCACATTGCTGTTGAACCATATTCAAATCAACCTGTAGTGAATCGATCGTGCTTACTTTTGACCTGCTGTTCAGGGGCTTTGATGTGAGTCACCATCCCTGGCATGTTTACACTATTCCTGTGCAGGTATTTCAGGAACACATCAGCGTTTCTCCTAGCTAGCGTGCAAGCCTGAAAGAGAACAGAGAAAGACATCAATACAAACATGAGCAAAATGAAGCTAACTTGATCTGTCATCTTCAGGCAAAGCAAATAGCTAGTAGCTCAAATGTTATCTATATATGTAGTATACGAACGGGAAGAAAAGTTCACAGGTATCAGAACAAGGTTCTGCAGCACTGTTGATGCCAGTCCTAACTTCATCCAATATAATCCATTATGTTCTGCCATCAAAAATGTTGAGTTTTCTCCAACAGCATGAAAGGGGAAGAGCACCACTAGATGTCACAACCTTCCCAATTAAATGAAAATATCTTACATCTTATAAGGAGAGCTTCTATAGATAGGTTCTTCAGAATAGAACTGAAGAGTGCCACCCATCATGTTAACACAATACCAGGGAAAACATCATCCCACTCACAGAGACAGTGGTTAGTCGTATTTTCAACACATCAGTATTCAGCTTTCAAGAAGTGAAATAGACTAAATCCTTTTATAAAGCTTCACATGCATGTTTCCATGCTGTGTTTTTCTCTTATCCCTAATAGGGAAATGGTTGTTTGATGCGAGGAGCTGCCCTAGCTTATTACATATCTCCTAGCATCTATAATTCACAAATTACCTAGCAGGCACACCATTGCTGGAGAACATACACACACCAGGCAAAACCAAAAATCACTTAATTGGCCCAGGTTTTAAATGGCAATCATACTAGCTGTGGAAATTTAGAATTCAGCAGGTAGAGAGACAAAGCAGAAATAGAAAAAGAAGAGAAAAGAAGCAAAACTAAGCTTTGCTATGAAGATGAATAAATAACCTGGCAATACAGTATAAGCGTGTCATTTACTTCCAACACTGCTTCTCAGGAACAAGAAGGTGATCTATTATCTAAATCAGGGGTCCTCAAACTAAGGCCCACGGGCCGGATACGGCCCCCCAAGGTCATTTACCCGGCCCTCACTCAGGGGCAACCTAAGTCTGAAACGACTTGAAAGCACACAACAACAACAACAACAACAACACTATCTCATCAGCCAAAAGCAGGCTCACACTTCCCATTGAAATACTTATAAGCTTATATTTGTTAAAATTGTTCTGCATTTTAATTATTGTATTTTTAAATATTTTTGCACTACAAATAAGATATGTGCAGTGTGCATAGGAATTCATTCATTTTTTTTTCAAATTATAATCCAGCCCTTCAACAGTTTGAGGGACTGGCCCTCTGTTTAAAATGTTTGTGGACCCCTGATCTAAGTAAACTCCAGGAGTGTGAAAAGACTAAAATCCCAAGCATGCAATTGAGGAGCACAGTGGGGATTTCACTTTTTAATATTAAGTGTCAGATTAAAAAGCAAGTGCATGCAAAAAGCAGCATGTAATGTAAAATACTGCTTGAAGGCTTCCTTCCTACTCCCTTTAAAGGTGGACCAAAGATAAACAGCCAAAGTAACAATCTGCTATACTATACACTAAGCATTATGCAGTCATCACAATATTTTCTTACCAGTTCCAACATGTTTACCAAAGATTCCTTTCAGGTATCTGTAGCACTTCATTTCCGTTTCTGCCTAAACAAAATAGTCTTCCCAAGCAAAAACAACTTCTAGTAGGAAGACTGGTTTAACAATGATAAAATAGTGGTGGAAGCCGAAGCGGCTGAGCTCCCTACTCGATCAGTGTTATTTATAAATGAAGGTTACTCTAATCCACCAAATGCGATGACATAATACACTGGTTAATCTTTAAGGCGACACATGAGTCTTTGCAGTTTTGGCAAGCAGGATCTCCTATAGCACTATCAAGAAATTACAAAAGTGGACTTGCTTTCATGTTAAATATGCCATCAAGCAGCCTGAACTTCTAGTGCTTTCCTCACTTTTTCTGCCTTCTGCTCCAATTAGCTAATTGTCTAGATCTGACAGTTTTTAGTTGCTATTCTAAGAAACCACAACCTGCTCTTTTTTTGCTATTTGTCTTACCAAAGCATCTTCCCCCAGCTTTCCAAACTTTGCTGTGGAATTAATACTCATGTCAAGTTACATATAGCAAAACATGAGCAGATTCTGTTTGTGCATTGAGCCTTCTGCATTTGTTCTTTCCACCCACCCACATCCTAAATAATTTCACAAGAAACTGTAGTAGGACTTTTAATACTTTGAATATAGGTTTGGTAATCATAAAGGGCACCAGGAATTTGGAGCAGCTGGCTGGGAGTCAGTTGCATTAAGATCACTATGACCAAAAGGTCATGAGTTCAAAGCCAGCCTGGGTCAGAATGAGCTTCTGACCAATTTGTGTGGCTTGCTGTCGACCTTTGCAGCCCGAAAGACAGTTGCATCTGTCAAGTAGGAACTTTAGGTACCGCTTATGCGGGGAGGCTAATTTACAACACCATAAAAATCTCCAGGAAGCATGCGAAGAATGAGGAAGTACTTCATCGGTGTCACAAATGGTAGGTGAAGTGAAAGCTCCCCTGGTGGCCAGAATATCCTCATGAAAAAAAGCTGGAATGTTAATTAGTCTCTGTGTGTCTGTCTATATATGTTGTGTATCTATGGCACTGAATGTTTGCCATGTATATGTACATTGTAATCCGCCCTGAGTCCCCTGCGGGGTGAGAAGGGCGGAATATAAATACTGTACATAAATAAATAAACAAACAAATAAATAAATAAAACTGCTTCTGCAGAACTACGTGCACAACTATCACAATGTTGCACAGCGGGTTAAACCACTGAGCTGCTGAACTTGCTGACTGAAAGGTTGGTGGTTCAAATCCTGGGAACGGGGTGAACTCCCGATGTTAGCCCCAGCTTCTGCCAACCGAGCCGTTTGAAAATATGCAAATGTGAGTAGATCAATAGGTACCGCTTCTGTGGAAAGGCAACAGAGATCCATGCAGTCATGCTGGTCACATGACCTAGGAGGTGTATACGGACAACACTGGCTTTTCAGTTTAGAAATGGAGATGAGCACCAACCCCCAGAGTCGGACATGACTAGACCTAATGTCAGGGAAAACTTTTACCTTTTTATCACTTATTTCAGTGTTTCCCAAATTCTATGTCCAAGGTATTTTGGACTTCAGCACTCAAAATCCCTGATCATTGTCCAAAGCAATGGAGACTTCTGGGAACTGAAAGTCCAAAACACCTGGAGGATTAGAGTTTACAAATCATTGAATTATATGATATTGTATCTCTCTTTTGCATCTGCTAATCATGTTTCTTGTCTTCATTCTCTTTTGTTCTGTTTCTCTCAGTCCTTTCTCTATCTCTCTGTCTCTCTATCCATCTCTCTCTCTCTGTCTCTCTCTCTCTCTCTCTCTCTATATATATATATACATATATTTCAGTCACAAAGTGTAGTTTATTTATTTATTTATTTATTTGATGCACTTATTAACCGCCATTCTCAGCCCATACGGGCGACTCATGG